TCATTCATGTCCCATTACTGCATGTTACTAACTCCACTTCTTCCCCGGAGTTCCTGTGCTTTCTCGTCTCGCAGGTTCTCATGGATCCTGGTGGAGCCTCCTGCCATGGTCCTGCTTGACGGCCATTGCCAATAGTGTTGTTGCTGTGCACCTGTATGTCTGTCTGTCTCTCGCTCTCTCTCTCTCTCTCTCTCTCTCTCTCTCTCTCTCTCTCACCCCAACTGGTCGAGACAGACGACCACCCACCTAGAGCCGGAGGATCTGTCCTAGGTTTCTGCCTTTTAACAGGCAGTTTTTCCTTGCCCTTGTCGCCAAGTGCTTGCTCATGGTGGTACTGTTGGGTCTCTGTAATTAATGTTAAAGAGTTCGGTCTAGACCTGCTCTATTTGAAAAGTGTCCTGAGATAACTTCTGTTATGAATTGGCGCTATACAAATAAAATTGAATTGAATTGAAATTGAATTGCAGCAGGATGTGAATCTGCATGCTGTTAAAAGCAGAAGTGAAATCGATAAACAGGGCCCTAGCAAGGTGGTAGGGGACTTGAAGGTGCTTTGACAGGGTGTGGAACATACTGACAGTTGCGTCATCAGTTCCCCTCTGACATTTATAAGCAAACTGGAGATGATCTAAGCTGTTAGAAACCGACGATGTAATTTGTCTGCTTATAACTCTCTCAAATCATTTTCCCAAGATAGAAGTAAGAGCAATGGGCCTGAAATCTTTTAATTCGGTAGCTCCAGGCTTTTTGGGGAGAGGCATGAATTTGGGTATTGTTAGAGAATTGAGCAAATACTGAAATAACTCCAACACAATACCTTTTAAGTTCATGAACATTTTCTTTTAAAACTCTACCTCTCAGGCCATCCGGCCCCGGGCCGAGTTGGGCTTGATATTAGACAGGCTGGCTACAATCTCATAGTGTAATAGGGGCATATCCCAAAATGGACCTGCACACACTATCACGTTCAGCACTAAAATCATTCTTGTCAAAACGACTGAAAAAGACATTTAGATCATATGCAAAAGATGGAGAGGGATTTATTACACTTTTATGTATTTCTCCGAGCAGATTGACCACATCCAGCTGAAATTTGGTCAGAAGACCCTTAGACTGTTGACAATGACATCTTATGAATCTTATGACTATTTATTGAACCATGTTGCCGACATGGCGAATATCACCTTGTTGTTTTAACATTTGATCACATTTTGGGGGCTAAACATACTCAAAAACTCATGAAACTTGGCACACACGTCCCACATCTTAGCATTTTAAATTTCATCTGGGTGTTGCCTGTGGGTGTGTCAAAATGGCTCGAAAGCGCCTCCTACAAACGTTTAAAAAGCAGCCCTGGTGTCCTGTTTCACGAACATCATTTTGGGACATACAAAAAAGCCTCTTTGAGCCATATCCTAAACCCAACAGGAACTCAGCCATTTTGAATTTAATGTCAAACTGTGAGGCCATCCGGCAATTTCAGGGTTTCTATTTTAACAAACTACTCAGAGCGAATTGATCAGAACAACTTCAAAATTGGTGAGTACAGTCCAGAGAAGTTCAGGATGCCACAGAATTGAAATCTTAACAACACAATTTGGACTGCGGTTCCATCAATACACCTGGAGAATGTCCGCTCTCTGGCCAACAAGATGGATCAACTGCTGCTCCTCAACAGAACAAATACAGACTTTTACAGATCTTCTGAGATATCTCTATCAACTACTGAATGCACTGACATCAAGTTTGGTACATTTGGTACATTTTCACTGGATTGGGACAAAATGTGGTTTAGATGTTCCATCTCCAGGTTAAAATGAGTCTTATACTTTGGTTTCATCTTGAGATGAAATTGTTGAAAAACGATTCTTTAAACAACCACATACCTGGTGTTTTGTTTGTGGCACGCATGGCTTAAAGATCTGCCAAGCCTGCAGCACAGAGCTGTAAAAAGGTGTCAGTCCAGTTAGATCCAGGTCCTCGGGCCGCAGGAGGAAGAGCTGTTTATCGCAGCCCAAGCGCCCAGCTCTGCTCAGGCGAGCTGTATCAAACCAGCTTGGGCCACAGTCATATAGTAGTCTTTTTGCAGTCTGTATTACTAAATATACTAAAGGAGGCAATTTTAGACTGGATGTTGATCAGTCCCTGACCTCCTTCAGCCACAGGCAGGTAGAGGGCTGCAGCCCAGATCCAGTGCTGGCCAGACCAGAAAAAGTCAAGGATGGCTCTCTGAATGTCCTCCATCAGGCCTCTTGGTGGTGTCAGAGCAATGAGTCAGTGCCACAGAGTCGAGGAGACCAGGTTATTAGCCAACTAAGTGCACACTTTCTCCTGAACTCCCTCCCAGTTCTTTACCTGAAAGCCCTCGGTGCCCAAAAAACACTCCTAGCACTTTCAGACCCTTCTTCCCCCGCTCAAGTCCTCCAGGCAGACTGGGCACTACCTGGTCCCTCCACTGCCCCATCAACAAAGCCTCACTCTTTGCCCAGTTCATCCGTGCAGCTGAGGCCTTTTCATACAGCGACAGGGTGTCCTTCAAACATTTAACGTCCTCCTGATTGGTGACAAAAATATTTACATCATCTGCATAATCAGAAACAGTAGGAGGACAATCAAGATTTGAGGACCCAGGCAGTGAGAGACCACTGAGACAATCCCTAAACCTGCACAGCAACGGTTCAATATCTAAGTGCAGAAAACAAATAAGAGTGATCCACCTGATCAAAGGCTTTCTCCTGGTCCAAAGAGACAATACCAAAATTAACATTATCAAATTTACACACATCCATAACATCTTGAATGAGGAAAATGTTGTCCATGATTGTCCTGTCAGGTACACAATAGCTCTGATCTGCATGCGCAATTATTTCCAAGACGTACTTTAGTCTATTTGATAAGACTCTGGAAAGCAGTCTGTGCAGAGGAGGGTAACTGGCCTCCAGTTCTTAAGGCCAGGTCTCCTTTCTTGGGCAGCAGAGAAAGTACTGCCGGCTGACAGGAGACAGGAAGACACCCATTTCTGAAACACTCCAATAAGACACTGTGTAAATTAGGACCAAGAGTTTTCCAAAACTGCTTGAAGGATTCAGTGGAGAGACCATTAATCCCTGGTGATCGCCCTGATGTCATCTAGTTTACAGCAACAGTCAGCTCCTACAGAGTGAGCTCACAGTCTAGAGCAGCCTTCTCTCCCAGGCTGAGCTGAGGAAGTCCTTCCAGTAGCTCCTCGCAGCACTCCATGCTGCAGTGTTCTGCCCTGAAGAGGTCGGTATAGAAATCCACTGCGTGGTTCCTCATCTCGCTTGGACTGGTGGTCACTCTTCCTCCAGGAAGCTTGAGGCAGGTCATCTGCTTCCTCTGTGCCACAGATCTCTCCAGATTAAAAAAGAAAGAGGTCGGGGCATCCATGTCCCTTAGCTGGAAGAAACTAGACCTGACAAGAGCTCCATTCACTCTCTCCTGCAGGAAGGAGCTCAACTCCAGCCTCTTCTCCTGAAGCCGATGAGCCATATTGGGATCTGAGTTTCTATGTATCCCCTTTTTCAACGTCCCTGATGTGATTTTTGAGTTCCTGAACTACTGGCTTGATGTTAGCAGTAGAATGAGAGGTGTACTACTGACAAAAAACACAAATCTGTGCCTTACCAACTTCCCACCACAACTTCAAATAACTGAAATACGATTTTTTTGGTTTTCCACTGCTGCCAAAAACACTCAGAGCGCTGGCAGAAAGTACTATCTTGGAGAAGTTTGTTGTTAAAGAACCAGTAGGATTTAACCCTTTCAGCTGGTGAAATGATCAACTCTGTGATGATGAAATGGTGGTCAGAAAAGTCAACTACTACTACTCACTACTGAAGTAGTGATTTCTTTTATATGATTCATCAATTTCCCCGCATCAAATCAAACCTGCACCGACAAGGACATACGGTTATATATATTTATTAACTAAACTAATGCAGAGTAAATAGTATGAAATGATAATGCAAACAAATGACAACAAGTAACGGAATATGTGGACAATATATAAATTATTACTATTAGGTGATTCAGGAGCGATGGTGGCTTTTGCGATGCGGCAGTAAGTTTAAAATATTACGAGAGTAAATTTTAGAACTACGAGGTCCTAATCGAAAATTCTCTTAAACTTAAAAGATGGAAATCAAAGCTTACAGACAGACACCAACTCTTTTTCATGTGTGTAAATCCGGCCGTTTACTGGAGAGTCAGCCTACTTTGTTTGTAGATGGAACTTGGAAGGATTCCTGCCTCGTTTCCAACATCACAAAAGCATCCATAATGATGGAGATATTAAGAACAAGACTAAAAACAATCAATGAAATAAATAAAAGTAAAATCTGTACATTCACCATCATTAAAGAACGAGTTGTTTCCTGACTTTAATCATCAGTTCTTTCAGTCTGAATACTTCTTGGTCTGTCAGGTCTGACTCGGCTCTGTGTTTTACAATATACCTGGCTGAATTATAGAAACCCTGCTGTTGCGGAGAGAAGGACCTTATGTTGTTTTAGGTGGATTCACCAGAACACCTCATCCACACAGACACTCCGACTAGAGAGTGAGCGCGGACACAGTAGAACAGTTAACGTGGCTTTAATGATGAAGCACAACTCCAATTACATACAGCTCGGTGTTTCTGGTTTACTGCTTACAGTTTTACAGAAGCAAAAAGACTAACAGTTGAAATAAGATGTTTTTGTGTTGAAAGTTCAGATCTTAAAGTGTCAAAGCATACTGGAGCTCCTGTAGCTAATGTGTCCCTGTAGCTAAAAATAACTCCAAATAAGATCAAACTGCTCATTAAGACAAGTGACATTTACTTAAATTCAGTCAAACAGCTTCCATAGTGAGCACTAGATCATCAGTTCACACTCAAAACAAGTCCCACTAGATTTTAAATCTAAATATCAGATTAACTGACTGACTTAGAAATAGATTTTCTGCAGTGCAGCTGATGTTGTGGTTTGTTGTCCTCTCAGTCTACCAGGTGGAGGTGGATTCAGGGGTGAAGTCTGTCCTGCTGCCCTGCAAAACCACAGTTCACCTGCCTGAGGACGTCAGAGTGGAGTGGACAGACAGTTACAACTGGAAGGTCCATGTGTATCAGAACGGCTCTGATCAGCCTGAAGAACAGAACCAGTATTACAGAGACCGAACAGAGATGAAGAGAAACCTGCTGGAACCTGGAGACCTCAGTCTGACCCTGAAATACCCCACATACAGAGACATTGACATCTACACCTGCACCGTCTACAGGGAGACAGAGATCCTGATGAAGAAACGAGTGCTGCTCGAGGTCAAAGGTCAGTGCTGTAGATACAGGTCAAAGGTCAGTGCTTTGAATATTGTATCATCATGGATTGTTATTAAGCTAATAGCTATATTGTTATTAAGCTAGTAGCCACATCAATAATTTGTACTGCGGTTCCATCAATACACCTGGAGAATGTCCGCTCTCTGGCCAACAAGATGGATCAACTGCTGCTCCTCAACAGAACAAATATAGACTTTTACAGATCTGCTGGGATATCTCTATCAACTACTGAATGCACTGACATCAAGTTTGGTACATTTAACGTTTTCACTGGATTGGGATAAAATGTGGTTCAGATGTTCATGTTCCATCTCCAGGTTAAAATGAGTCTAATACTTTAGTTTCTGACTAAATGCTAAAAAAAACTGATGAGCAGAGTTATTATAGTTTGTATTTTTCAGTAGGTTTGTTATTTATAGTCTGTTATAATCAATGTAATGAGACGGGTGGAAAAATAATGAAGGAACGTGAACCAAATGAAATATTTAGTTTGAAGATAAAGTGTAAAATATAATATCACAGAAGCCAAAAGACTAAAAGTTGAAATAAGATGTTTTTGTGTTGAAAGTTCAGATCTTAAAGTGTCAAAGCATACTGGAGCTCCTGTAGCTAATGTGTCCCTGTAGCTAAAAATAACTCCAAATAAGATCAAACTGCTCATTAAGACAAGTGACATTTACTTAAAGGGGAACTTCGGCAGATTTTTACCCTAGTCTTGATCACTAGAGGACACCGAGTACTGTCGATAGGAAAAAGGACGATCAGAATTGGTTCTAGCAAACTGGAGATGCTGCAGCTAATGGCCAGAGCTCCCAGTTAGTTATAATACACTTCTTGGGGGCATATCCTAAAGAGTGCTTTTTGCTCCTCTTAACAGACACAAAATGCAATTAAAATGTCTGTGCAACATGATCAGGGCCCCTATGTGACAACAACATGCCTTTTCAACTCATACGTTGTGCAGAAACCGTACAAACAGTACTGTCACCTACATGTTTTTACACCGCTCGCTTCACTGAAAGCCCAGAATAATCGATCACAGAGATAATGCCTTCACAACGAAATAAAGTTTATTTCCCATTCAAAAATGTCCATGTCTTCACACACTACTCTCCGTTTTGCACACTTCCTGCAACAATTTCTTCTCCTGCGTTTCCCTGCAACAAGTGAAATCCCACAGGACTTCAGCGCGGACGGTGTGGAAGCCATCCACGGAGACGATCTGGTCCGTAATGTCCCTGTGCAGCCATGTCTCAGTGAAACACATCAGACTGCACTCACGGTACTCCGGGTGGCTCCGTGTCAGCGCCCGTTAGCTCGTCCATTTTGTTGCTAAGGGACCCTCTCCATAATCCCGTCCCGTCTCGACCCGCCTCTCATTCCCCAACGTTGCTTCCCTCCTCTGCATCCCCGGTGTGTTTTCCTCGAGAGTTCAGGTGGTATATCAGCTGGTCTGGCCACTACGCCAGCCGGCATTAGCGCGATCAGCTGTTCTCCGGAGTAAACAAAGGCGGTGTGGTCCGGTGGAAGCGCTATAATAAAAACAACACGTAGAAAAGCTATGTGCGCACGCGCGAAAGTTTTTAACTTTCTTAACTTTTATTCTCTTTTGTTCGTTCTTGTTTCTTCACTGTAACTATGTGAAGTCCTGTCCCTCTAACGAGGTTGTTCTCAGAGAGTTTTCCTGCTTGTCTACGTGTTGTTTTTATTATGCCGCTTCCACCGGAACACGCCACCTTTGTTTACTAGGTACAAGTGCCTACACTTTCATCCTGTACCTTTCCATGACCATGAGATACTGCAGTTGTGGCTAGTTGTTCTTCAGCTGGATGTGCAAACTCCCATACAAGTACTATGCGAAAATGATCACCGCATTTGCAGCAAACATTTTGAGGAGGATGACTACAGAGACACAACACAGTGGGGCCGGTGTGTCGGTTTAACTGGTGGTTGAATTAACTGGTGATACTGAGGCAGATGTGTGTAGGCGTGGCTTTTTAGGACCCCCTTATTGCCGAACCAGGAAATAAAGATTCTGACTACTTCTATAACATTCATTTGTTGGTGACTTTTAAAACTCTGCAATAGAAACTCTTTGCTGGAACAATAATGTTGGTGTCTGCTCCTCTCTACGGAACTATTATTCACTGTCATGGTGACATTAACAGCTGCTGATCGCTACCGTTGTTTCAGTTCTGAGTCCTTCCCAGTATAACGTTACATCGAAGAAAGACTTCTTTGGATATCGTATATTGTAATCATACAATGGCTTTACAATACATCTTAGAAACACCAACTATTTTAAATAATTTAAACACACCAAAATGTAATTGTTTGTAAAGGCAACCACATCCTCACACTATTGTAAAACCACATTAACGGAGTAGCTCGAGTTTGAATTAACCTGTGATATTATCCTGAGTGAGACTGGTTGAGATGAGCTCAATGCTCGTAGTTTCTCTTGTGAAAAAAAAAAAAACCCTCACAAAAAACGTCTCTATAATGAATATGTATTCCTAATGGAACCAGCAGGTTCTAAAATCTAGTATAAAGTGAGGACTATAGGGAATGGCAATGTATGTGACATAACAATGATAACGTCAATAAAACATCCAAAATCCTCATGTTACCGGTCTAGTGTCATAGTTGTTTTTAATGTGTGCAATTATATCCAGCCTATAAATTTATCAGTCCGAGTTTACGCTCCAAGCAGTGTGGAGAACTTTGTCAGCTGTGGCAGAGTGCACATTCATGCTACACTATCTGTATTTACCGTCCATCGAGTTTAATATTAGAATCTAGACGTTTCGCTCACTCATCCCAATAGTCTACAAAATTCAGTTTAGTCTACATGTGCTGCACGTCACAACTCTGGATTTGAAAATAAAGTCATAATTATAAAATTGGTAAATACTGCACAATAAGACCTAAATGCATGTAAAACTGATTAAACGGAGTTATCGTTTGAGCAATAGCTTCACACACATTTTAGAATTACTGGAGTTATTGTCAATAATTTAAACCCACCAAAATCAAATCCTTAGGCTACTTAAGCAACATACCAGCTCTGGTGTAGAAAACAAATGTACCCACATGTGATCATGGTGGACAAACTCAAGTTCAATATACAATGCAAATCTTACATAGCAGCTAAATTGACCAATTTGTGACTGAAGGAAAGAAATGATTTGTAAGTAAGAGTTTGCTGACATGTACAGAATATCATTGTGATTAGTGAAATAAAAGTCTGTAGACTTTAAAAGGAAATAAGATCAATGAAAACAGCTGTTGTATCACAAGTTAATCTGGTCATAATGCTTTGTCACAACTCTACTTCAAGATGGTATTAAACATATACTGACTGTTTCAATGTATAATACCACAATTCTATCACATTTTATAATCTCAGTCCCATTTATTCAAAATCCCATGTGAATCGGATTTGTATACCGTAGCCCCTCTACTGATTAAAGTTTAATATTATCCAATTTCTCTTCCTATTGCAAAATGAGATTTGACAGTTGTCTAATTTGGATTGAAGAGTGTGCTGTTATGTAAATAATATCATTGTGATTGGTGAGATAAAAGTGTAGACGCGACATGATCGATGGTAAAATGTTGTAGGCTATCACCAGTTGATCTGGGCTATCACGCTTCGCCACAGCTGACTCCACACTGTGTTAAACATATACTGCAGACTGTATGTTTCCTACACACTGTGTGACAGTATAAACTCTTCTCAAATAGACCTGACATCAGATTAATAAGAATTCGTAAAACGACAGAAAGAACATTTTTTTAATTATTTATAGACATTGGCAGTGTTTGGAACAGGCATCGACTCAGTCACCTACTGTGTCATTCTCTTCAAGCGTCCGGAGATCGCCGCCGCAAATAAAATTGATTCAAACTCCAGGTAACTCCGTTAATCTTATTAGACATCAGAACTGGAGTGTTTACAGTGTTAAGGATTTCATTCTGGTTGGTTAAAATTATGAAAAGAAGTCAATTCAGTCAGTATTTCTAGTGTACAGATCTGCATCAATGCTCGGGAATATCACCAGTTAATTCAACCACCAGTTAAACCGACACACCGGCTGAAGAGAAACGCCATTCTGAGGATGAAGACTGCTGTAACCACTGTGGAGGTAGTGTTATATTCATAACTTCATTTAGCTTCGTTTTGGCAGACACGGCAAACACATTTTTGAGGGGGAAATAAACTTTTTTTCGTCGCGAAGGTATTATCTCCGTTATCGCAAAGTACTTGTATGGGAGTTTGCACATCCAGCTGAAGAACAACTAGCCACAACTGCAGTATCTCATGGTCATGGAAAGGTAGAGGATGAAAGTGTAGGCACTTGTACCTTCTCATTCTGTTGCCACCATTTGGAAAGGCACAAACGCTAACCATTTCTTCTCCACAGTAGATCAACAACACGTTATTCTCCAAGCTTCTTCACTTGTAAACACCACCGATCTCCACTCATTTCTTCTTCTGCGTTTACCTGCAACAAGAAATCCCACGGGAGAGGGACATTATGGACCAGATCGTCCATAGTGAGCACTAGATCATCAGTTCACACTCAAACAAGTCCCACTAGATTTTAAATCTAAATATCAGATTATCTGACTGACTTAGAAATAGATTTTCTGCAGTGCAGCTGATGTTGTGGTTTGTTGTCCTCTCAGTCTACCAGGTGGAGGTGGATTCAGGGGTGGAGTCTGTCCTGCTGCCCTGCAAAACCACAGTTCACCTGCCTGAGGACGTCACAGTGGAGTGGAGGGACAGATACAACAGGAAGGTCCATGTGTATCAGAACGGCTCTGATCAGCCTGAAGAACAGATCCAGTATTACAGAGACCGAACAGAGATGAAGAGAAACCTGCTGGAACCTGGAGACCTCAGTCTGACCCTGAAATACCCCACAGACAGAGACAGAGACATCTACACCTGCACCGTCTACAGCAGGGAGAGAAAGATCCTGATGAAGAAACAAGTGCAGCTTGAGGTCAAAGGTCAGTGCTGTAGATACAGGTCAAAGGTCAGTGCTTTGAATATTGTATCATTATTAGCTGTCTGGTTCATAGCATAACGTTAGCTTTTTCAGCCATATTAAATACAAACTGTGGTAAAGTCTCTGTCTTTGTCCTGCTGGATCTCAGGCTGCGTTTGACACAGTTGAACACAAGATATTACTGGACAGATGGAAACTGTAGGACTCTCTGGCACAGCCATTAACTGAACTCCTATCAGCAGGAGTTCCCCAAGGGTCCATTCTTGGTCCACTTCATTCACCATCTATATGCTCCCACTAGTTCTTATTGAGGAAAACAACCATATCCCATAATTATACAGACAACACACAGATTTACAATAGAAGCAGATGATGATGGATCCATACAGTCAGTGGAGCTCCAGTATGGAGGAAGGAAATAACATTAAAGTTAAAGGAATCAATAGACAATAATTGATTGATTCAGTCTGATTAAATACAATAAACTATTAGTTTGGAATTCTGATCAATAATTAAATGAATAACTACCATCAATAACTAATGAGTTGAAGGATTTGGAGCTGAGGACAGAAGAGGTTGTCCTCATTCACTCTGCAACATCAAACAGGAGAGCACGTATATACACAGAATAATAAAGTTCATTAAAGAAATAATAAAACACAATATGAAAGCTGAGTGTGTGTGTGTGTGTGTGTGTGTGTGTGTGTGTGTGTGTGTGTGTGTGTGTGTGTGTGTGTGTGTGATCTTAAAGCTAACTGTCGACCTGCCGTTTGTTTGCTGGTCAAAGCGTCATCAGGGGTATCAGGTTACGGTCACAGGAAGTGACCTGATGAGAGGTCACAGGAAGTGACCATCAGGATAAAAGTTGAGGTTAAATCCTCCAGAATGGTCCCAGTGGTCCCAACAGTAGAAATGATGTGAGTGAATGTGTTGCTACAGAAACAATGAGACATTTGTTTGATCAGTGATGTTGAACCTGTGTTTGAAATGCTGTGTGGAACTAAGATTCATTCACTGTTACATTTGAGCAACAGACAGCAGTTCAACACTGAGATGAGACATTACTGTGAAGCAGCACATGGACAGAAAATCACAACATGTCCAACAGCTTGAAAACCTGCTTTTAGTTCCTATATTTCTGTCCCCTGTTACCTGCTGCTCTCATCTGGTTCTGTCCTTCAGGGTTCTCTACAACTTTGTAATCAGTCAATAAAGTTATTACAAACTGCTGCTGCTGTCTGTACAGCTGATGTTGGGGTTTGTTGTTCTCTCAGTCTGTCAGGTGGAGGTGGAGGAGGGGGCGGAGTCTGTCCAACTGCCCTTCAAGACCACAGCTATCCTGCCTGAGGATGCTGAAGTGGAGTGGAGCCGCTATGAACCCGAACCCACAACGACACTTCATGTGTATCAGAATGGTTCTGACTGGCCTGAAGAACAGAACCAGGATTACAGAGACCGAACTGAGATGAATAAAGACCTGCTGAAAACTGGAGACCTCAGTCTGACCCTGAAATCCCCCAAAGAGAGAGACACAGGAAGATACCGCTGCGACGTCTACAACAAGAACATCTGGAGATGGAAAACAGTGCAGCTCACAGTCAGAGGTCAGTGCTGTAGATACAGGTCAGAGGTCAGTACTGTAGATACAGGTCAGAGGTCAGTACTGTAGATACAGGTCAGAGGTCAGATGTCTCTGTGTCTGTCTGTGTCTGACTGTCCTCTGTCTCCTCTGCAGGGAGAACCAGGAACAGAAGCAGCTCCATTGATCCAACTCCTCTGATGGCTGATCAATCTGTTTGATTGGTCTGTTGATCAATCTTTGATTATTGATCTTGTTGAAGGGGCTCAAAGGAAGAGAATGTCAACGTTCAGCTTTCAGTGTTTCCTCTCTTCATCATCTGAATGAACCTGCAGTCCATACTGTGATTGATTGATTGATTGATTGATTGATTGATTGATTGATTGATTGATTGATTGATTGATTGGTCTCATGTAGCTCTATAATGTTTCTCTGATGTTTGTGTATTCAGCTTCTATACATATATATCTGGCTGTGTCTCAGGAGGTAGAGCGGGTCGTCCACTGATCAGAAGGTTGCTGGTTCGATCCCCGGCTCCTCCCGCTGCATGTCGAAGTGTCCTTGAGCAAAATACTGAACCCCAAACTGCTCCTGATGCTGAATCACTGTATGAATGTGTGAATGTATGAATGAGTGAATGTGGCTGTAGTGTAAATGGCTTTGAGTGGTCAGAACACTAGACAGACACTAAGTTCAGTCACTTTCTGTGATTGAATGAAGTTATTGTTTGAGTGTCAGTCAGCTGAACTGTTCTCATGTGTTTGAATCCATAAAGTGTTGTGAGCAGATGAGTTATGGATTCGATCATTTCACACTCTGTTTAGAGAATGATGAATATTGAGGAGAACAACTGTAAATAAAGCTCAAATGTACAGAAATCATTTCTCCACTCTGACAGCATCATGAAAATGGATCTAAAGCTGTGAGAATGATGGATTCAGGAGGCATCCAAACTTTGATTACAGCGCCCCCATGTGGCAGAGCGGGAGCAGATTTCTCTTATTGTATCTAGGTGTGATGATGGAGGCCATGTGTCTCAGATTGATGATTTCCTTTAATAACATAATGAGTGTAAACTGTGTCTGTAGTGACAGCGTCCATAAAGCGTTATCAGCAGTGAAATATCTGCAGCTTCCACAATCTAATATTGATTCTCACTAATTACAGTTGCTCAATCACATCAACTGTTAGTTGCCGCCTGTACGGCCTGTTGCTCTGCTCCATGGGGACGGCACACTCGTCACACTCCAGGAACTGTCTGAGTTGATTCTGGCGCCCCCTGTGGACAACAGCGGTAGTGTTTCTACTGCCTGGTTTCATTGATTTCAAGGGGAATCCGACCCGGTGGCAGACATTAACAATAACTATATAGAAATATCCAATCTTCTCTCTGATTGTTTATGTACAATAACTCACTGTAGGACATTTAAAGTAGTAACTCTATGATTCAACAGGTGAAGGTCCCATTGCGTCAAGCCCCGCCCCCTTTTAAGTGAAAGCACTGCCTCTAATTTGACTGGTGGTAAATGTAAATTCTGAGCTCGTAAAATAACATTACTGTATTGTTTGTATCTATTAGGAGCATAAATCCTATATCCAGCAAACAATGCTGTTGTGTTGTTGTTCTATATAAAATACACAAATAGTTATTGATGAGTGTCCTGACATATACAGCGACCTTATTCAATCTCATATTTCTGCTGTCTGTCACTGTTTCTGTGCTTCACACTCTTTATTAACTGTTTGTGTCCAATGTGACGTTACTGTAAACTAATTCCAGGGTTTGTGTTTATTAATCGACCTTTTACTACGAGACCACAGAAGAAGAAAACAGGAGGGTTTATCTCCACTTCCTGTTACTCTCTGCTGTTTCCAAGGTTCATTATTAGAAGGTAGGTCAGCTCAGTTTATGGGAATTATTAAGGTTCAAATCCCCTCTGCTCCACACTGTCACACCAAACTCCATTCAAAAAACGGCTGTTTTAAGGAAGTAAAACCTTTATTTCCACCATCAGTGAGACTCTGATTCTCTTCAGTCTACAGACACAATCTGCTCACATTGACTCAGTAACATCATTAACTAACCTGTGAGGAAGAGTTGGACACACACACACTCACTGACTGTCTGTCATTAACTAACCTGTGAGGAAGAGTTGGACACACACACACTCACTGACTGTCTGTCATTAACTAACCTGTGAGGAAGAGTTGGACACAGACACACTCACTGACTGTCTGTCATTAACTAACCTGTGAGGAAGAGTTGGACACACACACACTCACTGTCTGTCATTAACTAACCTGTGAGGAAGAGTTGGACACAGACACACTCACTGACTGTCCCTCAGCAGATGCATTTATTTTATTCCACAGGAAACATATTCAGTCTTTGACACACATAGATTATATATATATAAATATATATATTTATATATATATAAGATAATATATATTAACAGTCAGTAACTTTGTGGAAGTTTGTTCACACAGTTTTGGGTTGTGAGGTCTTGTGGCTCATGGATGTCATTGTGGAGTAGGTTGTGATGGAGCAGCCGGTCTTTATCCTTCATATAATTCAGAGAGGAGCTAAACCCCCCAAACACTCTGTATATGGGTATATAGTAGTGTGGCTGACTGATTCAGGCAGATCTTGACATTGTAGTGCAAACTATTAGAATTCTAGATATCTAGCTATAAAAGTGCACAGCGACGCCCTCTGCTGGTTGAAAGCTGCTTTTACAGTTGAATAGAAAAAGCTGTGAATGGCTTTGTTCACTTTTTCAGTCCAAACATTTGAGGAAACGTTGCTCGTTGTGTTGAAAACAGGAAGTGGGACAGTTTGCTCTTCCTGTGAATGTCTCTTATTTTGATGTTGTCCAGGTTTTATTGTCAGCGTGTCCTTGCTCAATCAGTTTATATTGTTAGAAGAATACAGAACCAATATTCCTACTAGAGACTGTATTCTACTGGATGGGTTACAGCAGTGTAGTTAACATGTGCTGCCAGCATTATTGTGTGTGTTTGGGTGGCTGGTTGACTTTATTTGAGTCTGTTGGTTAGTGAGTTGCTGTTGTTCACATTTTAAAGCTAAAGCTTGCTATTGCTTTTTTCTCCTTCCTTCTCCTCAGGCCCACATCTCTGTGCTACCCCAGAATTTAGAGCCAGAGTTAATAAGAGGGTCTCAAACCAGTTTACTACATCCTGGCTCCTCCTTTACTCACTGTACCTCGGAGGCCTTGGTCACACTACAGGACTTTCAGAGCGCTCAGATCTCTGTACAGTTATCTCTGTACTGTATGTACTAAAACTATATAGTATTGAATTGACCTCTGAAGTAGAGCAGTGAGTTTCTGATTGAAGCTGCAGTAAATGAAGTGTGAACCTATGCGCTATAATAACCTGTGTGTAATGGGTCTGGTTTTATTTGTTATTTAGAAGGCCAAGGTACTGTTATCTGTGTATGTTTAGGTTCAGTTGGAGAACAGATCTAGTTGGTATCACTTATTATCTACGTTGTAAAGAAAACTATAAAGTGGCCTGAGCCCCATGAAGTCTAGGAGTTTGATATAGAGTATAGCAGAAGAGAGAGAGGAGGTGCTCTGGAAACTCCACAGGTTGGAGCTCTTGGGATGGGAAAGGGAATATGTTGGGTTCTATGTGTTATGCTTTTGTTGTCTTGTCAGTGTGTTTGTATTGTGGTTCACATCATCACCTTCCCTCTGAGCTTCTATTAGTCATAAAAAAGACTGTGTAGGCCAGGTGTATTCTCCATCTTACTCCACTGGAAGTAGAGGCGTGGCTCTTCTCATTAGGAAACAGTTAGCTGTTCCCATTGAGACAGTCTGACCCAAACGGATGCTATGTGTTGATCCAAGATTATTTACAGAGAGAAAATATTGTTTTATTGAATATATATATATATATGCCCCCCCAAACTGTCCAAATACAGTTGTTATCAGTGTAAACAGCAATAATTACTGTAATTTAACAGATATTTACTTTTATTACAGTTCTATAACTTTTAACATTCACATTCAAATTTTAAATAAATAAATAAAATAGCACTCTTGTAAAATAATTAGTATTGTAGCAGTGTTCACCTGTATTTATAGCTCATTGCATTGTTTTTACATGTAATATTTATGTAAAATTCAATCTAAAAACTGTATTTTAATTACAAACTGTGTTTTTAAGAGTCTGAACCATCTTGAGGAGGTGTTTCAGGCCCTCGGTGGTTACGGCCTCAAGATTCAGAAGGAAGTTCCTGGGACACAAAGTCAGCACCCTAGGAATCGCTTCTGACCCAGAGAAAGTGACAGCTGTATAAAACTGGTTGGAGAGGTCAAATAATTGATTTTTAAACAATGCAAATGACTTAGAGAATACATATTTAATAAGCACATAACTGCAGTTCTACCTAAAACATTCGACTGGACAGGTAAAAACAATGGATGCTTTCAGTTTCATTTTGTCTCAGTAGTTACCACAGTCAGCCTCTAGAGGGCAGTATAGGGATCACATGTGGAACAGCAGACTTTAAACCTGTAACTATAAAGCTAAAACTCAAAGCTACAAGCAGCAATGGTCGGACCCTCGCTGCCCACACACATCAGGGTTTGCTGCACCAGTGTATCATGTGTGGACCACACCATGAACATCTCATGTAAATCAGATCAAGATCACTAATAACTAACCTTCCAGTTTCCATCAGGTGTAAATTATATTATGTTGTCTTCCTTATGAATGGATCAATGTGCAATTATTAACCAATATCTGTTATACTTTCTGTATCTTTTAACAAGTTATCAAAGTGTGCAAGAAAAAATACAAATATTAAGAACTTTTTGCTGTTTATTTGGGACTGTTGCACTTTCTAAGTTTTCTTCTGAGATTAAATGCAATTATTGTAAGTTGTGCATTATTGTTATTGTTGTTGTTATTATTATTATTATTATTATTATTATTGTTATATTTATTATTATTATATGTTATATGCTGTGAAATATGTGAAAGAGTTTGTTTTCCACTCATGAAAGTGAAAGTTGAAGAACAGAAACACAGAAAGACACAATCAGGAGTAAAGGAGAAACAATGGAGCATTAAAGAGACAAATATTAGTATTAGTAGTAGTTTGTGACAGTTTTTACTTCATACGCTTCAGCATCTAAAACCTTGTAAGATGAAATATGAATTACAGTAATTGTCTGTTTGTAGCTCATTATTGATGCCCATTGATTTAGAAATGTGAAGAACCACAGAGCTTTTCAATCTCACTACAGATATCAAACTGTTTCCTCTGTATGTGCCTTAGAACATTAATCTTACACTTTATTTCACCACTATAAGCTTTATTATGTTAATAAAACTTAATATCTTTGCTTTGTTATTAGAAGTTGATGCTTGATGGAAAGATAGTTAAAGCTATAATCCTTCAGGTGTTCATGAAGTGAAAGCATTCAGTGTATTTACATTCTTTAAACACTGACGAGGGATCCTTTTGGTTATTTGATGTGACTGATATCAGCCTCACTCTCCTGCAGTCCTATCAGAGCTGCATTCAAAGCTTCAACCTTGTTTTCAACCAACTGTTCAGGTTCCCAACCGATTTATTTTTGGTCCAACGCTCCGAACAGTTCCCTGTTGGTGGAAGAGGCCTGTCAGTGCTGTAGTGCAGGTTATACCCACTCCTAAACCCCCCATGATGCTCCTCATTCACCACTGTTCTTTTAGAAGCCATGACGTAGTTCAGTTTTCATGTGGATGTAGTCAGGAATAAGGAATACTTCAGTCACTAAGCATAATGAAGTAGTCTGAAGTAGTCTGAGCCTGTAGTCTGTGGGTCAGTATGGATTCTTCTGTTGCTAATGTTCATTTCATAATGATCCTCAGTTAGTGACAATATGAAAATACTAGCAGCACATTTTAGAGTGAGCTAAATATGCAACAGTGGTTTTAATGTGTCACTCTTTATAACACACTGTAAAACTATTTACATGACTAATGTGAAATAAACACTGTAACTGGAAATAATCAGAACATTACTGCTTATTTAACGAACATTTCCTTTTATTATTTAATAGATTAAATTAATAATTAATAGGTTAAATTCATTCATCATTAATACATTTCTAAAGTTATGTAAAATTAGTGACATTAACAATAGAAATGTTTTATAATTAGTCAGTGTAATCAGTGAGGCCCCGCCCCCAGAAACAGTCTGTTTTCAACCTAATTCTTGTCTCATCTGTGGTCTGATAAACAGTAAATGAAGTCATTGAAGTGTCCATATCACTATTGTCCTGGGTTCATCTACAGTAGGTTAAACAATGATAGATACAGCTACTGAGGCACACACACACATCTCTCCTCACACTGCAGATCTGCCACAGCAGAAGCTAAAGTCAGGTGGAGAAAGAGCCAACTGAGTCCTGCCTGAGTTGGAACTGATGAACTGTCTGTATTTGCAGCTCTTGGAGCAAATACTGAGACTGCTTCATTATATGTATGTACACACTGACATATCTCAATACATTATGTGACATCATGAAGAAGATAGTTTGATATCATTATTGTACAAATGAAAAGTGTTTCTGTTACTGACATTAAAATGTTTTTGAAATGAATAAAGGTTAATATTAAAAGCTTGTTTTGCTGAACGCTTCAGTTATTTAATGATTGATAAAGTAGTTCTGTCAGTCTGTCTGTCTGAGGCTGCTTCATGCTGACACAAACCAACAGCTATAACAAATATGAGGAAACTGAACCTCCTCCTGTTTCCTCAGAAGTGATCTGTGGCAGTCGGACTTCATTCCAGAGAGCTTCTTTATCAAAGTCTGAACCTGATCCTTCTCTGCCTCCTTTCAGTCCAGTGACTGCTGTCTGTGTCCGGTGGGAAGCCCTTTACTTATTTCAGCTTTTAAAGGTCCAGTGCGTAGGTCGATAAAAACGTCTCATTCTAAGGTAACGAACACACAACCATTCTTATTTTCAGCTGATTAAACTAATGAAAACAAACCTATGGATATTATATTTCTGACAATAGATCCTCCTCAGTGTTACACATCAATAAAGTGTTTCTGATTTACATCCCATAACTTACTGATTTTACCCCAAAAAGGATCTTTTCTGAAACATAACCAAGTGCTCTTGTTGCTTCAACCAAATAGTGTGTTTGCTTTATTGTAAGCCACAGTTTTATGTTATAAATGAACAGTGAGGGTCCCCAGCTTTTACACAATACTGGAGGCTAACTTGCATATTTTTGCATAATTAGCTCAATGAACCAGAAGTTGATCTGTTTATTCTAAAATGCAGGTCTAATGTATTAAGCACATAACCTCAAAATGGACTCAAAAATAATGAAACTCAGAGTTGAAATATAACCACTTCCAGTTTAAAGGGCCAAGCAGCTGCTGGAATATTGTCCATATAGGTGATTATGCTAATGAATTACAATCTGTGACAATAACTTACAATGTGTAACTGAGTCCACTGGGACCAGTTTGCCTTAATCCAATATATATTTTAATCTTTTTGTATTACAGTTCTGCACAAAGGTGCTTTATAAATAAAGTTCTGATTGAATTCAGTCTGCTCTCAATAAAAAGTCTTCTTAGAAATCAATGAACCACTTTGTGTTTTGTCTTCAGACCAGTCAGAGATCCTAGTGAAGCCTGGAGATGATGCTCCTCTTCAGTGTCGGGTTCTGTTGGACTGGATCATCTCTTAATTTATGCCTTAATTATTTATATTTGTGTCCTGCACTGAGCCAAAATACTGTAAAATCACAGGAAATATCTAACAAGAATCTTATTCTAAGAACAAGTTTCCATAAATGTTACAATTTAAACACATTTAATTGGTTAAACATCTAAAAATTATATTTGAGGATTGCTTCATTCTCAATGACTCTTCAGTTGCAAACAATGAGAAATACAGAATATGTATTATATATAATATATATGTGATAAATGAGTCTGTAGTTACTGCACTACCTATATATCTGTTTATATCTGTTTATATCTGTTTATATTGGTTTATATCTGTTTATATCTGTTTATATTTGTTTATATTGGATTATATCTGTTTATATCTGTTTATATTTGTTTATATTGGTTTATGCTAATACAAAGACAGTTACATTCTTTTTTTTATTTTTTAAATTTTTTTTATTTAAAAATATATAAAATACTACACATTATTCATTCAATTAAAATTATTTCTTTAACTATTTATATTCATTTTTATTAGACATTAATATTATATCAATATTAAATTAAAGTTAAACAAGGTTGAATGTCCCACACATAAAAAGACTATTTTTAATAATAAAAATAAATACAGATTAATCATTTTATTCTTTATATTGCTCTTGGTGTCAATCAACAATAAAAATAAATGTGTTTTTATTTCTCTAATTTCTGCCAGAGACACGAAAACGTTTGGTCACTTTTATTTTGAAAATCCGTAAAGAAGGCGGTGTCAGACACACGTGTACTTCCTGTAGCTAACACACTGACTCTGTCTGTTACCTATAATCAATACAGTGTATTGATACCGCAGGAGGGAACCAGTAGAACCAATGTGTGTCGGTTCGATCCCCGGCTCCTCCCGCTGCATGTCGAAGTGTCCTTGAGCAAAATACTGAACCCCAAACTGCTCCTGATGCTGAATCACTGTATGAATGAGTGAATGAGTGAATGAGTGAATGTGTGAATGAGTGAATGAATGAATGTGTGAATGTGGCTGTAGTGTAAATGGCTTTGAGTGGTCAGAACACTAGACAGACACTAAGTTCAGTCACTTTCTCTGATTGAATGAAGTTATTGTTTGAGTGTCAGTCAGCTGAACTGTTCTCATGTGTTTGAATCCATAAAGTGTTGTGAGCAGATGAGTTATGGATTCGATCATTTCACACTCTGTTTAGAGAATGATGAATATTGAGGAGAACAACTGTAAATAAAGCTCAAATGTACAGAAATCATTTCTCCACTCTGACAGCATCATGAAAATGGATCTAAAGCTGTGAGAATGATGGATTCAGGAGGCATCAAAACTTTGATTACAGCGCCCCCATGTGGCAGAGCGGGAGCAGATTTCTCTTATTGTATCTACGTGTGATGATGGAGGCCATGTGTCTCAGATTGATGATTTCCTTTAATAACATAATGAGTGTAAACTGTGTCTGTAGTGACAGCGTCCATAAAGCGTTATCAGCAGTGAAATATCTGCAGCTTCCACAATCTAATATTGATTCTCACTAATTACAGTTGCTCAATCACATCAACTGTTAGTTGCCGCCTGTACGGCCTGTTGCTCTGCTCCATGGGGACGGCACACTCGTCACACTCCAGGAACTGTCTGAGTTGATTCTGGCGCCCCCTGTGGACAACAGCGGTAGTGTTTCTACTGCCTGGTTTCATTGATTTCAAGGGGAATCCGACCCGGTGGCAGACATTAACAATAACTATATAGAAATATCCAATCTTCTCTCTGATTGTTTATGTACAATAACTCACTGTAGGACATTTAAAGTAGTAACTCTATGATTCAACAGGTGAAGGTCCCATTGCGTCAAGCCCCGCCCCTTTTAAGTGAAAGCACTGCCTCTAATTTGACTGGTGGTAAATGTAAATTCTGAGCTCGTAAAATAACATTACTGTATTGTTTGTATCTATTAGGAGCATAAATCCTATATCCAGCAAACAATGCTGTTGTGTTGTTGTTCTATATAAAACACACAAATAGTTATTGATGAGTGTCCTGACATATACAGCGACCTTATTCAATCTCATATTTCTGCTGTCTGTCACTGTTTCTGTGCTTCACACTCTTTATTAACTGTTTGTGTCCAATGTGACGTTACTGTAAACTAATTCCAGGGTTTGTGTTTATTAATCCACCTTTTACTACGAGACCACAGAAGAAGAAAACAGGAGGGTTTATCTCCACTTCCTGTTACTCTCTGCTGTTTCCAAGGTTCATTATTAGAAGGTAGGTCAGCTCAGTTTATGGGAATTATTAAGGTTCAAATCCCCTCTGCTCCACACTGTCACACCAAACTCCATTCAAAAAACGGCTGTTTTAAGGAAGTAAAACCTTTATTTCCACCATCAGTGAGACTCTGATTCTCTTCAGTCTACAGACACAATCTGCTCACATTGACTCAGTAACATCATTAACTAACCTGTGAGGAAGAGTTGGACACACACACACTCACTGACTGTCTGTCATTAACTAACCTGTGAGGAAGAGTTGGACACACACACACTCACTGACTGTCTGTCATTAACTAACCTGTGAGGAAGAGTTGGACACACACACACTCACTGACTGTCTGTCATTAACTAACCTGTGAGGAAGAGTTGGACACACACACACTCACTGACTGTCTGTCATTAACTAACCTGTGAGGAAGAGTTGGACACACACACACTCACTGACTGTCTGTCATTAACTAACCTGTGAGTTAATTGACATTGTAGTGCAAACTATTAGAATTCTAGATATCTAGCTATAAAAGTGCACAGCGACGCCCTCTGCTGGTTGAAAGCTGCTTTTACAGTTGAATAGAAAAAGCTGTGAATGGCTTTGTTCACTTTTTTCAGTCCAAACATTTGAGGAAACGTTGCTCGTTGTGTTGAAAACAGGAAGTGGGACAGTTTGCTCTTCCTGTGAATGTCTCTTATTTTGATGTTGTCCAGGTTTTATTGTCAGCGTGTCCTTGCTCAATCAGTTTATATTGTTAGAAGAATACAGAACCAATATTCCTACTAGAGACTGTATTCTACTGGATGGGTTACGGCAGTGTAGTTAACATGTGCTGCCAGCATTATTGTGTGTGTTTGGGTGGCTGGTTGACTTTATTTGAGTCTGTTGGTTAGTGAGTTGCTGTTGTTCACATTTTAAAGCTAAAGCTTGCTATTGCTTTTTTCTCCTTCCTTCTCCTCAGGCCCACATCTCTGTGCTACCCCAGAATTTAGAGCCAGAGTTAATAAGGGGGTCTCAAACCAGTTTACTACATCCTGGCTCCTCCTTTACTCACTGTACCTCGGAGGCCTTGGTCACACTACAGTACTTTCAGAGCGCTCAGATCTCTGTACAGTTATCTCTGTACTGTATGTACTAAAACTATATAGTATTGAATTGACCTCTGAAGTAGAGCAGTGAGTTTCTGATTGAAGCTGCAGTAAATGAAGTGAGAACCTTTGCGCTATAATAACCTGTGTGTAATGGGTCTGGTTTATTTATTATTTACAGAGGTGGGTAGTAACGAGTTACATTTACTCCGTTACATTTACTTGAGTAAGTTTTTGAAAAAAATATACTTCTAGGAGTAGTTTAAAATCACTATACTTTTTACTTTTACTTGAGTAGATCTGTGAAGAAGAAACTGTACTCTTACTCTGTTACATTAGGCTACAATGAGCTCGTTACTTTGGTATTCTACGCGTCAGTTTTTATCCCCGCCTCATTTTAATGTTTTATTTTGACAGAGAGAGAGACTTCCGCTCTACCACGTGACTGTGTTTCACTAATCAAACGTAGTTGTGCAGTCTCGTCACGTGACCATACTCAATCTCAGCGATGGGACGGGTTAGCTTTACAGTCGTAGCAAACAAAAATGTCAATGTTACTCAACAGTTACTCAGTACTTGAGTAGTTTTTCCACCAAGCACTTTTTTACTCTTACTCAAGTAATTATTTGGATGACTACTTTTTACTTTTACTTGAGTCATATTATTCTGAAGTAACAGTACTTTTACTTGAGTACAATTTTTGGCTACTCTACCCACCTCTGGTTATTTAGAAGGCCAAGGTACTGTTATCTGTGTATGTTTAGGTTCAGTTGGAGAACAGATCTAGTTGGTATCACTTATTCTCTACGTTGTAAAGAAAACTATAAAGTGGCCTGAGCCCCATGAAGTCTAGGAGTTTGATATAGAGTATAGCAGAAGAGAGAGAGGAGGTGCTCTGGAAACTCCACAGGTTGGAGCTCTTGGGATGGGAAAGGGAATATGTTGGGTTCTATGTGTTATGCTTTTGTTGTCTTGTCAGTGTGTTTGTATTGTGGTTCACATCATCACCTTCCCTCTGAGCTTCTATTAGTCATAAAAAAAGACTGTGTAGGCCAGGTGTATTCTCCATCTTACTCCACTGGAAGTAGAGGCGTGGCTCTTCTCATTAGGAAACAGTTAGCTGTTGTCATTGAGACAGTCTGACCCAAACGGATGCTATGTGTTGATCCAAGATTATTTACAGAGAGAAAATATTGAATATATATGCCCCCCAAACTGTCCAAATACAGTCTTTATCAGTGTAAACAGCAATAATTACTGTAATCTCACGGATAATGACTTTTATTACAGTTCTATAACTTTTAATATCCAAACCAAAATTTTAAATGAATAAATAAAATAGCACAATAATTTGTTTTATAGCAGTGTTCACCTGTATTTATAGCTCATTACATTGTTTTTACATGTAATATTTATGTAAAATTCAATCTAAAATCTGTATTTTAATTACAGACTGTGTTTTTAAGAGTCTGAACCATCTTGAGGAGGTGTTTCAGGCCCTCGGTGGTTACGGCCTCAAGCTTCAGAAGGAAGTTCCTGGGACACAAAGTCAGCAGCCGAGGAGTCGCTCCTGACCCAGAGAAAGTGACAGCTGTATAAAACTGGTTGGAGAGGTCAAATAATTGATTTTTAAACAATGCAAATGACTTAGAGAATACATATTTAATAAGCACATAACTGCAGTTCTACCTAAAACATTCGACTGGACAGGTAAAAACAATGGATGCTTTCAGTTTCATTTTGTCTCAGTAGTTACCACAGTCAGCCTCTAGAGAGCAGTATAGGGATCACATGTGGAACAGCAGACTTTAAACCTGTAACTATAAAGCTAAAACTCAAAGCTACAAGCAGCAATGGTCGGACCCTCGCTGCCCACACACATCAGGGTTTGCTGCACCAGTGTATCATGTGTGGACCACACCATGAACATCTCATGTAAATCAGATCAAGATCACCACACAAGGCTTACTTCCTATTTAGTATGTGGCGCTATGAGTATGACTGCGTGCATGTGTGTGTGTGTGTGTGTGTGTGTGTTCAGGGTGTGACTCAAACATTGACAGTTTCACTGAGGTTAGACAACTTCCTGTTTCTTGGCAATACGTCGAAGTTCAACACCGCGGACCCGCCGTTTAACGTCCTTCAGGTCCAGTGTGTCTGTCACTGCTCTACTCTCCACCGCTCATATATGTCGTTTTGGGAGTTATTGGCAATCAACCAATAATGTTTGTGTGAAAGCTGCTCAGCCGGTTTCTTTCCATTCCAACGGCTGCTTCTCTGGAAACAGTTTAAAGTGAAACTAAAGTTTTCTCCTCACAGTGTCGGCAGATTATCAGGAGGAGGAAAGTGACAACTGGCTGTGAACTGAATGTGTTTTTCAAGTGTTCGTTTAGTGAGAAGCAGATTAATGAGGACTTTGTGGTTGTTGTAGTTTTTACAGAAGATGAAGATGTTTGTGGTGTTTGTGATCCTCGTGCACGGTAAGATAACCTTCCTCCCTCTGATCTGATCATTAGTCCAACATCATGTCTTTAATCTGTAATTCTATCATCTTCATTTCATTAGTCTGTTTAAACTCCAATAAAAACATGAAGAACATATTAAAGGCAGCATATTTTCAATGTTTGTGTAAATCATGATGAATGTAGAAGACTGTACAGTCAGACTGTCCTCAGTTCTGTTCTTCAGGATTATATCTCTGGAGGTTGTTCACATTCTTATAGCTTATATTACCAATAGTATTAATGATCCTAACACACTCATTTAAACACCATGTTGGATCAATACAGTCAGTCTATCAGTTTGTTCTGTTATTGATCCTGTTTGTGAGTCTGATCACAAACAGGAGCAGATTGAGGATCCAGGAGCAATAAGACCTGAAATAAGGCTGCTGTGATTGAACCTCTCTGTCTGTGTGACCTCACAGTTTCCCAGCATGCCTCAGCTGTGGAGCTGTATGAGGGGGAGGAGTTTGTCCTGCTGCCCTGTGAGTATAAAACTTTTGAACTGGACAACCCCACAGTGGTGTGGAGCCGCTACGATCTCAATCCTCCAACCGTCCACCAGCGTCAGCAGGAAGGTGATGAATTTATATACCAAAACCAGCTTTACAGCGGCCGAACATCCATGATGGCTGACGCTCTGGAAACTGGAGACCTCAGCCTCAATCTGACAAAACTCCGCCTCTCTGACAGCGGCACCTACACCTGCACCGTCAGATCATCAAGAGGAAAACAGAGAGTGAGAGAAGTACAGCTGAAGGTCAAAGGTCAGCAACAAACCTTAAAACCTACTCTGGATTAGTGATTTCCAAACTGAGGGTCATAAAAGTTTAATGGGGGCGAAGCTTTCTTGACTTTATGGCGTGTAAGAAAACTAAATGAAAATATACACAGTAGGCCTAGATCTCAGCATAAGCAGAAGCAGAAGAAAATTAAATATATATTTTTAAGTTAATTGTCTGATAGAACCAAGCATCAGGGACAAGAAAACACTGAATTTGTCAGAAAAGAAGCCTATTAAGTTGTATGATTGTTACAAATAATGAATAAATATATAAAACAGACAGAGAATCGTATAAAAAGTTCCCTAAACAGGAAATAATCTGCTCAAAATTCATTTAAATCACCTGTTTTACACAAGCTTCTTGCAGTGACAGAATTCACTGTTTGGCTAAATTGTACAGTTTTTAATAAAATATGTCACTAGGGATTGTCAGATTACTAAATGATAGAAAAGGGGTCCCTCAAAGGAAAGGGCTTGGAACCACAGCTCTAGATATAGGTCTGTAGAAAGGTCAGCTTTAGATACGGGTCAGAGGTCAGTTTTCTAGTTTACAGGCTACACACACTTTAGACGACATTAACTTTGTTACAGTGCTTCAACAACTGAACATCATTTAGTACAAGACGGACACAGATGGTCCAAATCACTCAGGGTCTGTCTCATCTGTATGAATGTCTCCACGTGTCCATCAGTCCTGTCTTCTCCCTTAGTATCAGTGGCTCCCACTGAAGATGTGATGGAGAGATAGAAGGAACAGATGTGAGGAAAGAGGAGTTCAGACAGTTAACACACTCATTTAAACACCATGTTGAATCAATGAATTCAGTCTATCAGTTTGTTCTGTTATTTGTCTTATTGGTATTAAACTGTGCTCATGTGGTTTCAAAGTCCAATCACAAACACGACCAGATCCAGAAGCAATAAGACCTGAAATAAGGCTGCTGTGATTAAACCTCTCTTTCTGTTTGACCTCACAGTTTACCAGCATGCCTCAGCTGTGGAGCTGTATGACTGGGATGAGTTTGTCCTGCTGCCCTGTGAGTTTCAAACCTTTGACATGGACGACCCCACAGTGGTGTGGAGCCGCTACGATCTCAATCCTCCAACCGTCCACCAGCATCAGCAGGAAGGTGATGAACTTAAAGACCAAAACCAGCTTTACAGCGGCCGAACATCCATGATGGCTGACGCTCTGGAAACTGGAGACCTCAGCCTCAAGCTGACAAAACTCCACATCTCTGACAGCGGCACCTACACCTGCACCGCCAGAGCATTAGGAGGACAACAGAGAGTGAGAGACATACAGCTGCAGGTCAAAGGTCAGCAACAAACCCTAAAAACTAATATATATAGGTCAGAGGTCAGTATTGTAGATACAGGTCAGAGGTCAGTACTGTAGATACAGGTCAGAGGTCAGTACTGTAGATATAGGTCAGAGGTCATGATCTTTATGTGTCTGTTCCCCACAGAACGATTTCCATCTTGGGCCAAAGCTCTCCTGGTTCTCCTGGTTCTTGGTCTTATTGTTGGGGGTCTTTTGGTGCATTTTCGGCAGTATTTCATGTCAGGTATGTTACTACTACATTACCCATAATGCCGATGGTTATCGTCTTTGCTCCTTGACTGCTCCTTGACGGTTTTGTGGTTTTCATAGAAGTATGGGACAGTGAGGTCTGGGATTATAAACCGAGGGTCACACTGTCTACCTGAGCAGCTGCAGCATAAAGAGACAGTGAAAATAGTCTGTTCATAGTCATATCAACATTATACAGGCAATATTCACCTTTCACTGTAGTTTCAATGTCTATATCTAAGTTTAAATACTAAATACATTTATTTTTTATTATTTTTATTAAAAGCTCTCACGTTTCTATGGACAGAATCCATTCATATGTTAACAGAGCTTTTATTTGGCCCGGAGCACAAATCGTGCGAAAGCCCTGTTTTATTAGTTGGAATGATTATTATCATTCATAAAATGTAATGGCCTTTTTGGAGCCTGTATCATATGCCAGAAGTCCTGAAAATCTGCCCACATGTCAGTGGCGGTGAAGAATTATGTATTTTATGGGTCTCTAACACGTGCACGGAAGCACTGCCTATTGAGCAGCCCCAACGTTTCACCTATGAGTATGAAAAGTGGTACACATGTAGATCACGTCCTAACGTCCTGACCATAAATTGCTCTTGGAGCCATATCCCAAACCCAACAGAAGTTGGACATTTTGGATTTACCGGCAATTTCTGGCGATTTGCACACGTTGTATTTGAACAAATTCCTCCTAGGAAATTGTACGGTGGAATATAATATAATGTAATATAATATTATAATAGTATTATAATATAATTATAATATTATAATATTATAAAAGATTACGGCCAAGTGCTTAAAAAAGACATACGTACCTTTTTACTGTCTTCTCCAAAACTTAGCTAACTTTCTTCTTCTTCTTCATGTCTTCCGGGACTGGTCCATCCCTCAGGTCGGGTCCCCCTAGTGGCCTGGCGCACTTCCGTTTTGTCGAGCGAATTTGCAGCGTTTCTCTCGCAGTTGTTTTGTTGTTTTGTGTGTTTTTGGTATTTGGAGCATTTTTCTGTTGCCTTTGTTTTATGTGTTTGTGTGTTTTTGGATTTGCTTTATTCCCGTGTTTACAGCATTTTGGCGTTTGCAGCGCGTTTGCCCTTGTCGGCCACCGTAGAATTGATCTGATCAACTTCAAATTTGGTCAGGATGATGTAAACACCATCACATTAAAAGTAGTGCTGCTTGTGAGTTGAATCTGAAGGGTTTGTCTCTGCCGTGGCGCCAAGATTTGACGTTTTGCCCTGAAACAAGAAGTTGTCATAACTTCGTTGTCCAATCTGCACCATAATGCACGTGTCTGATAAGCCTGAACACATCTGTGTGATAATATTCAGTAAAAGTGGTAGCGCCACTTAGTGGTAACCAGAAATATAATTTATTACACTTTTATGTATTTCACCGAGCAGATTGACTACATCCAACTGAAATTTGGTCAGAAGACCCTTAGACTGTTGACAATGACATCTAATGAATCTTGTGAATTGTTATTGAACCATGTTGCCATAGCGACATGGCGAATATCACCTTGTTGTTTTAACATTTGATCACATTTTGGGGGGCTAAACAGACTCAAAAACTCATGAAACTTGGCACACATGTCCCACATGGCAGCATTTTAAATTTCATCTGGGTGTTGCCTGTGGGTGTGTCAAAATGGCTCGATAACGCCTCCTACAAACAAAAACCAGCCCTGGTGTCCTGTTTCACGAACATCATGTTGGGACATACAAAAAAGCCTCTTTGAGCCATATCCTAAACCCAAAAGGAACTCAGCCATTTTGAATTTAATGTCAAACTGTGAGGCCATCCGGCAATTTCAGGGTTTCTATTTTAACAAACTACTTAGAGCGAGTTGATCAGAACAACTTCAAAATTGGTGAGTACAGTCCAGAGAAGTTCAGGATGCCACAGTATTGAAATCTTAACAACACAATTTGTACTGCGCTTCCATCAATACACCTGGAGAATGTCCGCTCTCTGGCCAACAAGATGGATCAACTGCTGCTCCTCAACAGAACAAATACAGACTTTTACAGATCTGCTGAGATATCTCTATCAACTACTGAATGCACTGACATCAAGTTTGGTACATTTAACATTTTCACTGGATTGGGATAAAATGTGGTTCAGATGTTCATGTTCTATCTCCAGGTTAAAATGAGTCTAATACTTTAGTTTCTGACTAAATGCTGAAAAAAAAGATGAGCAGAGTTATTATAGTTTGTATTTTTCAGTAGGTTATTTATTTATATTCTGTGATAATCAATGTAATGTGACGGGTTGAAAAATAATGAAGCAACGTGAACCAAATTAAATATTTAGTTTGAAGATAAAGTGTAAAATATAATATCACAGAAGCCAAAAGACTAAAAGTTGAAATAAGATGTTTTTGTGTTGAAAGTTCAAATCTTAAAGTGTCCTAATGTGTCCCTGTAGCTAAAAATAACTCCAAATAAGATCAAACTGCTCATTAAGACAAGTGACATTTACTTAAATTCAGTCAAACAGCCTTCCATAGTGAGCACTAGATCATCAGTTCACACTCAAAACAAGTCCCACTAGATTTTAAATCTAAATATCAGATTATCTGACTGACTTAGAAATAGATTTTCTGCAGTGCAGCTGATGTTGTGGTTTGTTGTCCTCTCAGTCTACCAGGTGGAGGTGGGTTCAGGGGAGGAGTCTGTCCTGCTGCCCTGCAAAACCACAGTTCACCTGCTAAGGCATGTCACAGTGGAGTGGAGGGACAGTGACAACAGGAAGGTCCATGTGTATCAGAATGGCTCTGATCAGCGTGAGGAACAGAACCAGTATTACAGAGACCGAACAGAGATGAAGAGAAACCTGCTGGAACCTGGAGACCTCAGTCTGACCCTGAAATACCCCACATACACAGATAGTAACACCTTCACCTGCACCGTCTACAGCAGGGAGAGAAAGATCCTGAAAAAGAAACAAGTGCTGCTCAAAGTCAAAGGTCAGTGCTGTAGATACAGGTCAAAGGTCAGTGCTTTGAATATTGTATCATTATTATATTGTGATATAAAGTCCAGTCATTGTGATTAATATGAAATGTTTCCATCAGAAGCTCATTAGAAGGTAAATGTCCTTTCAAAGTGAATCTGATAGAATGTGAACACTTGTTAACAAGTGACTGATGGAACATCTGACAGATATTGTTTCTTCTCTGTCACATATTTGGATCAATAACAGTCATAGAAACTCTTTGAGCTGAATACTTTCATGAATGTTCAGCTCATATTTGGAGCTGACACACAAACATCTTTGAGAGGCTCATATGGGGAATTAAACTTGTTCTGTTTCTATTTCAATGGTTGTGATATTTGGAGACTAAATATCTGCATCAGATCCAGATCAGCTGGAATAACAAAGATTAGTCTGAGACATGAAGGACTGACGTTTGGCTCATATCTGATTATGAAACCAACAAAAAGTCAACCATCAATGTTTACTGATCATCCAATCATATCTTTAATAACACTGAGGGAAGCTGTCACTGCAATAGAATGCACTATTGTACATCTATGGTTAATAGCATAATGTTAGCTCTATGGTTAATAATATAACATCAGTTTTCTGGCTCGTAGCATAACCATGTCAGAAATCTTGGTGTAGTTCTAGACTCAGTCCTAAAAATCAAAAACCCACATCAACAGAATCACAAGACCATCCTACTACCACCTTAAAAATACAGCCAGACCTAAATGATCCATTTTTATTTATTTTTTGTTTTACCTTTATTTTACCAAGAAGTCCCATTGAGATCAAAAATCTCTTTTACAAGAGAGACCTGGCCAAGGCAGCAGCTTTAGAAAATCACAACATATTAAGATACAACATATTTAACATAATATCAATAAAACACAAACTATACAAATACAATGGCTTCTCAAGAAAAACAACCACATGCCTCCGTCACCATATTCTTTATGATGCACTTAAATTTATCAATGGATATAACTGTGTCTGATTCAGAGCGCTGCTGCCAGAGTCAAAGAACTGATCTCAAAATACTGTTATTGACTTCCAAACACTGAATGGTTCGGGAAATATTTAGTTTGAAGATAAAGTGTAAAATATAATATCACAGAAGCCAAAAGACTAAAAGTTAAAATAAGATGTTTTTGTGTTGAAAGTTCAGATCTTAAAGTGTCAAAGCATACTGGAGCTCCTGTAGCTAATGTGTCCCTGTAGCTAAAAATAACTCCAAATAAGATCAAACTGCTCATTAAGACAAGTGACATTTACTTAAATTCAGTCAAACAGCCTTCCATACTGAGCACTAGATCATCAGTTCACACTCAAAACAAATCCCACTAGATTTTAAATCTAAATATCAGATTATCTGACTGACTTAGAAATAGATTTTCTGCAGTGCAGCTGATGTTGTGGTTTGTTGTCCTCTCAGTCTACCAGGTGGAGGTGGATTCAGGGGAGGAGTCTGTCCTGCTGCCCTGCAAAACCACAGTTCACCTGCCTGAGGACGTCAGAGTGGAGTGGACAGACAGATACAGGAAGGTCCATGTGTATCAGAACAGCTCTGATCAGCCTGAAGAACAGAACCAGGATTACAGAGACCGAACAGAGATGAAGAGAAACCTGCAGGAACCTGGAGACCTCAGTCTGACCCTGAAATACCCCACATACAGAGACATTGACATCTACACCTGCACCGTCTACAACAGGGAGAGGAAGATCCTGATGAAGAAACAAGTGCTGCTCGAGGTCAAAGGTCAGTGCTGTAGATACAGGTCGAAGGTCAGTGCTGTAGATACAGGTCGAAGGTCAGTGCTTTGAATATTGTATCATACTAACGAAAGCTGCAATAGAATGTTGTACAGAGAGAGAGACAGAGAGAGAAAGAAAAAAAAGAGAGAGACAGAGAGAGAAAGAAAGAGAGACAGAGAGAGAGAGAAAGAAAGAGAGGTTTAACATCCCTTTTATTGGACTTTTTTCATCACAATCACATCATCACTTTAGATCTAAACAAAACAAAACAAACAACAAAAATAAATAAATATAAAAACAAAAGAACCCGTCGACCAATCTTTCATCAGAAAGTCATATTTAGCTCTCCACCCCCACAGAGCATAAACCCCCCCAACAGCCCATATATGACTGAAGGCCTGCATATTGTCCACCATCTGATGGTAAGCATGTTCCACCCTCAGATGGGCCTTCAGTAGTCCCTTCAGAACCAGCACCGGTTCCACACTGCCGGCACCCTGAGTCCGGTTCCTGCGGGTCAGCCAGATTGCCAACTTAGCAGAACCAGATAAAAAGTTCATCAGTGTTATTACAATCTTATTTGTTGCACGGTATTTCTGACCAAAAATAAACCAATCAAAAGAAAACTCTTCCCCCAGACCCTGAAAGCCCCTTTTTAAAAGCTGGAACAGCGCCGACAACCGAGGACACTGAACAAATAAATGAAACAAGGTCTTAGTCTGAGAACAGAACACACAGTCCTCCTCCTGCTCTGGATCCAGGTGCGCTCTGTATCTGTTTGTAGCTATTGCCCCGTGTACAACCCTCCACTGGAGGTCTGCTGTTTGCTTTTCAACAGGCAGCTTGTACAGGGACCACCAGCTGCCTTTCGGGGAAATGTCTGGACCAAAAAACTCAGTCCACCTCGACTCCTTCTTCCCTATCAAAGAGCGCAGATTCAGAACCTTGACGCCAATCTGGTAGACTGCCTTCTTCCCTGCATCCTAAAACTTGTCCAGCTGAGGAGTTATGAGAGACAGCAGCTCACCTCCTCCCTCCTGCCACTCCCCCACAGCTGGGGTGAGAGTCAGAGAGGGGAGACTGTACTCATACTCCTCACTCCACTGGTCGCACAGAGCATGGTCTTCTGCAAATGCTCTCAGGGGTTGTGGCAGTGCAGACTTCCTCCATCACTCTGTTGATCAACCTGATGGAGGTGATGTTGCTGTTCTCTCTCAGAGTCCACCATTGTTGCCGTCATCTTCATCAGATGGCCCAGTTTGGTGCAGCCAGCCTCTCTGAGATTGGCTCTCAGGCTGGCAGACTGCAGTGTTTGAGTCTTGTTGAAATTGTTGAAAAACGATTCTTTAAACAACCACATACCTGGAGTTTCATTTGTGGCACGCATGGCTTAAAGATCAGCACAGAGCTGTAAAAAGGTGTCAGTCCAGTTAGATCCAGGTCCTCGGGCCGCAGGAGGAAGAGCTGTTTATCGTAGCTCAAGCACCCAGCTCTCCTCAGGCGAGCTGTATCAAACCAGCATGGGCCACAGTCATATAGTAGTCTTTTTGCAGTCTGTATTCTAAAGGAGGCAATCTTAGACTGGATGTTGATCAGTCCCTGACCTCCTTCAGTCACAGGCAGGTAGAGGGCTGCAGCCTGGATCCAGTGCCGGCCAGACCAGAAAAATTCAAGGAATGCTCTCTGAATGTCCTCCATCAGGCCTCTTGGTGATGTCAGAGCAATGAGTCTGTGCCACAGAGTCGAGGCAACCAGGTTATTAGCCACCAGAGCTCTTCCCCTATATGACAACTTCCATTTAGACAACTGAGCGCACACTTTCTCCTGAACTCCCTCCCAGTTCTTTACCTGAAAGCCCTCGGTGCCCAAAAAACAATCCTAGCACTTTCAGACCCTTCTTCCCCCGCTCAAGTCCTCCAGGCAGACCTCCACTGCCCCATCAACAAAGCCTCACTCTTTGCCCAGTTCACCCGTGCAGCTGAGGCCTTCATACAGCGACAGGGTGTCCTTCAAACATTGAACGTCTTCCTGATTGGTGACAAAAATATTTACATCATCTGCATAAGCAGAAACAGTAGGAGGACGATCAAGATTTGAGGACCCAGGCAGTGAGAGACCACTGAGACAATCCCTCAACCTGCACAGCAACGGTTCAGTAGCTAAGCTATACAGTTGTCCTGAGATTGGACAACCCTGTCTTCAGCCCTGCCCCCATCTTCACCATACATTCAGCAACGCTGTACAATAAACCCACCCAAGCCAGAAAACCATCACCAATACCACAAGCCCTAAGTGCAGAAAACTAATAAGAGATATCCACCTGTTTAAAGGCTTTCTCCTGGTCCAAAGAGACAATACCAAAATTAACATTATCAAATTTACACAATCTATAACATCACGAATGAGGAATATGTTGTCCATAATTGTCCTGTCAGGTACACAATAGGTCTGATCTGCATGCGCGATTATTTCCAAGACGTCCTTTAGTCTATTTGATAAGGCTCTAGAAAGCACCTCATAGTCTGTGCAGAGGAGGGTAACTGGCCTCCAGTCCTTTAATAAGGCCAGGTCTCCTTTCTTGGGCAGCAGGGAAAGTACTGCCGGCTGACAGGAGACAGGAAGACACCCATTTCTGAAACACTCCAATAAGACACTGTGTAAATTAGGACCAAGAGTTTTCCAAAACTGCTTGAAGAATTAAGTGGAGAGACAATTAATCCCTGGTGATCACCCTGATGCCATCTGGTTTACAACGACAGTCAGCTCCTACAAAGTGAGCTCACAGTCTAGAGCAGCTTTCTCTCCCAGGCTGAGCTGAGGAAGTCCTTCCAGTAGCTCCTCGCAGCACTCCATGCTGCAGTCTTCTGCCCTAAAGAGGTCGGTACAGAAATCCACCACGTGGTTCCTCATCTCGCTTGGACTGGTGGTCACTCTTCCTCCAGGAAGCTTGAGGCAGGTCATATGCTTCCTCTGTGCCACAGATCTCTCCAGATTAAAAAAGAAAGAGGTCGGGGCATCTATGTCCCTTAGCTGGAAGAAACAAGACCTGACAAGAGCTCCATTCACTCTCTCCTGCAGGAAGGAGCTCAACTCCAGCCTCTTCTCCTGAAGCCGATGAGCCATATTTTTCCACGTCCCTGATGTGATTTTTGAGTTCCTGAACTACTGGCTTGATGTTAGCAGTAGAATGAGAGGTGTACTGCTGACAAAAAACACAAATCTGTGCCTTACCAACTTCCCACCACAACAAGTTTGTTGTTAAAGAACCAGTAGGATTTAACCCTTTCAGCTGGTGAAATGATCAACTCTGTGATGATGAAATGGTGGTCAAAAAAGCCAACTGGACTTATGTTACTGTGAATTAGTCTGGAGCTGAGACTGTGAGAAATGTAGATCCTGTCCAGTCTTGCTGCACTCACCCTGTTATCACTGACCCTCACCCATGTGTATTGTCTGGATTGTGGATGTTTGACCCTCCATGTGTCAAACAGATCCAGCTGTGTGATGATGCTGTTTAGGCTTTGAGAGGACTGTGGATGGGGTTCCTCACTTGTCCTGTCCACAGTAAAGTCTACAGTACAGTTAAAATCCCCACCTATGATTAAATGATCCTGGTGGTGATTCTTTAGCTCATTGAGTAGCAGGGGGAAGAAACCTACTCTTTCTCTCCCTGATTTGGGGCATACAGTATATGTTTACAAAGCAGATTACAGAGTTCTTTATTTCTGCCCTTACAACCATCAGCCGACCCTTCACCACTTCAGTGGAAGATAAAACTGTTGCATTTGCAGTTGCTCTGAACAGAACAGCGATCCCTGCACTGAAGTTAGTGCCGTGGCTGAGGACATACGGACCCTCCCAACATAAATTCCAGTCTACCTCGTTTGCTGGATTAGTATGTGTTTCTTGTAAAAACAACACATCTATCCTTTTTTGAGTTGAGACCTCAGATATTAATGCTCTTTTATATATATTTATGTCTCTCCCACCGTTAATGTTTAAAGATCCTATTTTTAGGCTCTGCATGTAGAGGTCAGAGAGGAGAAACAGGTAAAAAGAAACAAACACTTTGTGGTACATGATCATTTTACCTTCTTATCCTTTTGGTAGTTTTACCTTTTATTGCTTTTCTCAGAGTAGTGAGACGTTTATTCAGACGGAAGCGTTTCTTTTCATCCAATAAGTCAAACCCAACCAGTTTTTTTAGTACATTGACGGATCTGATGAACTTTTCAGTATCGCTGAAATAATCAATTACTCTGACAGATTTGATATAAGTTACATCCAGAAAATGACTGATTTCGTCTAAAGAATATAGATCCGTGTTCCTGTTAGAGGTTTCACCGATGGATGTAGTGTCTGATTCAGTGTCATACTCCATGTCTTCTCCTTCACATGATACCTGACTGAAACCGTGTCCTTCCTGTGTGCTCACAGTGTCTCTGTCTGCACTGATGGAAGCTTCCTCAGTGTCTGCATACTGAGAACTACTCAGGTTCTTTGCAGCCACAGAAGCCTGTTGCTCCTCAGGGTTGCTCTGTTCTACCATAACCAAATCATTAGTGTTACAATGTGAACCACTGGCACCGGCTGCTGCACCGGAACATAAAGATCTGCCACGGGCGCTGCCGTGTTTTGTGTATAGTTTCTTCATCGGCCTTGTGCAGGCTTCATTTTCCCCATAACAGAGTTTCAGTAGGGGGCCGCTGAGCTCCGTGAACCCAGGGCCCAGGTGGACAGATCATTTTATTCATCAACAGTTAAAACAGAGTTAAAATGCCAATAGGCGCTTTTGGGTAAAATGTTTCTGATAAAAACGTTACATAAAACCAAAGAATGATCAGTAAAACCAACTGGTAAAATCTTACACATTTTAACAACACCGACTCTGTGCTTAAAAACATAAAAACGATCAAGTCTGGCCAAAGAGATTCTGTTTTCTCTAACGTGGGACCATGTGTACTGTCTGCAGCCTGTGTGCATCCTTCTCCACACGTCCACCAGGCCATGGGAGGAGACCAGCTGCCTCAAGGCATGCTGGGATACTGGATGAGGCTCTGCATGGTTGCGATCTAAAATCTCATTTTCAGTACAATTAAAATCCTCACCCACTAATAAATAATCCTCCGGGCCACAGCTGTTTAAAATATCATTCATATTTTCAAAGAAGTGTTTCCTCTCTGCACCGTTGTTTGGAGCATAAATGTTGATAAAAACCACATTAAAATGTTCAAAACGAGCTCTGACTAAAAGACACCTCCCCTCCACAACATGCCTGACCTCCAGAGAGGTTGGAGTAAAACCTCTGGAGAACAGGAAGCCCACTCCTCCACTGAGGGTGGTGTTATGGCTTAAAATCAGTTCTCCTTCCCATTCTCTGCTCCAGTCTGCCTCGTTTCCAACATCACTGTGAGTTTCTTGTAGAAACATCAATGTGTTTCATTTTACTCATTTCAAACACTACTGCTCTCTTTCTTGTTTCTCTGGCACCATTGACATTCAGACTGCCTACTTTAAAAACATTCATAATGATAAAGATGTTAAGAACAAGACTAAAAACAATCAATGAAATAAATAAAAATAAAATCTGTACATTCACCATCATTAAAGAACGAGTTGTTTCCTGACTTTAATCATCAGTTTTTTCAGTCTGAATATTTCTTGGTCTGCCAGGTCTGACTCGGCTCTGTGTTTTACAATATACCTGGCTGAATTATAGAAACCCTGCTGTTGCGGAGAGAAGGACTGTATGTTGTTTTAGGTGGATTCGCTGGAACACCTCATCCACACAGACACTCAGACTAGAGAGCGAGGCCAGACACAGTAGAACCGTTAACGTGGCTTTAATGATGAAGCACGACTCCAATTACATACAGCTCGGTGTTTCTGGTTTACTGCTTACAGTCTGACTCTATTGTCTGCACTGTTTGAGGCTTTACATTGGTCTGATTGACTCTCTTCTGTATGGTATCTGCAATGGACAAACACAATATACATGAGAAGGTGCGCTAGCTTAATGAGCACATATTAACTTCGCCTCAACTTAGTCGACAGCTGCCAGTCAGTTAGCACATTAAACATCAAATAAACACTGCTGCACAAGTAACGTTAGCTTATAGAGCCGAAATTCAACGCTTCATTTGCATATCAAAGAACTTTATTATCACAAACGCAGACAGGTATCAATGTAATGAACCAGAAGGCCGCGAACAGCTCAACGTCACGTTCCCAAGGACCCCTTAGCTGCCCAACGAGGTGCCTGATGTAAAAACACTGAATTCAGCACTGACCAGTTCCTGCACAATAAAACACAACAACAACTGCATATCAGGGAAGAACTGTTCTAACATTAATTACCTCATCCCTTTGGTCTGTTGTAAAAAAGACTTCAGTACATTGGCAGTATACACCTGAGCAGCAGCCTGCTGAGTGTGAGACAGGTCACTGCTGTCAGACACACACCCTTCACTGTCACTGCTGTCAGATAGAGCTGCTCTGTTCTCTGCAGCACTCGGTTTACCGGCCAGACGTCCGGCTTTACCACCCACCTCCACGGTCAACATGCTTCTCCTCTTACTGCGCTGTTTAAGAGGAGCAGACCCCCACCCAGACTCACAGGCCTCCATCTCTTCAGCCTCAGCTACTGTGCTCCCCTCACTCAGCTCACCTGCTAGTTTACCTGTCTCACACGACTCACCTACAGACTCACCTGCCTCTCTCTCCTTACCTGCTTCACACTGGTCACCAGAGACGGGTTGAAAAATAATGAAGGAACGTGAACAAAATGAAATATTTAGTTTGAAGATAAAGTGTAAAATATAATATCACAGAAGCCAAAAGACTAAAAGTTGAAATAAGATGTTTTTGTGTTGAAAGTTCAGATCTTAAAGTGTCAAAGCATACTGGAGCTCCTGTAGCTAATGTGTCCCTGTAGCTAAAAATAACTCCAAATAAGATCAAACTGCTCATTAAGACAAGTGACATTTACTTAAATTCAGTCAAACAGCCTTCCATAGTGAGCACTAGATCATCAGTTCACACTCAAAACAAGTCCCACTAGATTTTAAATCTAAATATCAGATTATCTGACTGACTTAGAAATAGATTTTCTGCAGTGCAGCTGATGTTGTGGTTTGTTGTCCTCTCAGTCTACCAGGTGGAGGTGGATTCAGGGGAGGAGTCTGTCCTGCTGCCCTGCAAAACCACAGTTCACCTGCCTGAGGACGTCACAGTGGAGTGGACGGACAGTGACAACAGGAAGGTCCATGTGTATCAGAACGGTTCTGATCAGCCTGAAGAACAGAACCAGTATTACAGAGACCGAACAGAGATGAAGAGAAACCTGCAGGAACCTGGAGACCTCAGTCTGACCCTGAAATACCCCACAGACAGAGACAGTAACACCTTCACCTGCACCGTCTACAACAGGGAGAGAAAGATCCTGATGAAGAAACAAGTGCTGCTCAAGGTCAAAGGTCAGTACTGTAGCTATATTGTTATTAAGCTAGTAGCTATATTGTTATTAAGCTAAGCTAATAGCTATATTGTTATTAAGCTAGTAGCTATATTGTTATTAAGCTAAGCTAATAGCTATATTGTAATTAAGCTAGTAGCTATATTGTTATAAGCTAGTAGCTATATTGTAATTAAGCTAAGCTAGTAGCTATATTGTTATTAAGCTAAGGTAATAGCTACATTGTTATAAGCTAGTAGCTATATTGTTATTAAGCTAAGCTAGTAGCTTTATTGTTATTAAGCTAAGCTAATAGCTATATTGTTATAAGCTAGTAGCTATATTGTTATTAAGCTAATAGCTATATTGTTATTAAGCTAAGCTAATAGCTATATTGTTATTAAGCTAGTAGCTTTATTGTACTTAAGCTAAGCTAGTAGCTATATTGTTATTAAGCTAATAGCTATATTGTTATTAAGCTAAGCTAATAGCTATATTGATATTAAGCTAGTAGCTTTATTGTACTTAAGCTAAGCTAGTAGCTATATTGTTATTAAGCTAGTAGCTATATTGTAATTAAGCTAAGCTAATAGCTATATTGTTATAAGCTAGTAGCTATATTGTTATTAAGCTAATAGCTATATTGTAATTAAGCTAAGCTAATAGCTATATTGTAATTAAGCTAATAGCTATATTGTAATTTAGCTAATAGCTATATTGTTATTAAGCTAATAGCTATATTGTAATTAAGCTAGTAGCTATATTGTAATTAAGCTAAGCTAATAGCTATATTGTAATTAAGCTAATAGCTATATTGTAATTAAGCTAGTAGCTATATTGTAATTAAGCTAAGCTAATAGCTATATTGTAATTAAGCTAATAGCTATATTGTAATTAAGCTAGTAGCTATATTGTTATTAAGCTAGTAGCTATATTGTAATTAAGCTAAGCTAATAGCTATATTGTAATTAAGCTAATAGGTATATTGTAATTAAGCTAGTAGCTATATTGTAATTAAGCTAAGCTAATAGCTATATTGTAATTAAGCTAGTAGCTATATTGTTATTAAGCTAGTAGCTATATTGTAATTAAGCTAAGCTAATAGCTATATTGTAATTAAGCTAAGCTAATAGCTACATTGTTATAAGCTAGTAGCTATATTGTTATTAAGCTAAGCTAGTAGCTTTATTGTTATTAAGCTAAGCTAATAGCTATATTGTTATAAGCTAGTAGCTATATTGTTATTAAGCTAATAGCTATATTGTTATTAAGCTAAGCTAGTGGCTATATTGTAATTAAGCTAGTAGCTATATTGTTTTTAAGCTAAGCTAGTAGCTATATTGTTATCAAGCTAATAGCTATATTGTAATTAAGCTAAGCTAGTAGCTATATTGTTTTAAGCTAATAGCTATATTGTTATTAAGCTAGAAGCTATATTGTTTTTAAGCTAAGCTAGTAGCTATATTGTTATCAAGCTAATAGCTATATTGTAATTAAGCTAAGCTAGTAGCTATATTGTTTTAAGCTAGTAGCTTTATTGTACTTAAGCTAAGCTAGTAGCTATATTGTAATTAAGCTAGTAGCTATATTGTTATTAAGCTAGTAGCTATATTGTTATTAAGCTAATAGCTATATTGTAATTAAGCTAGTAGCTATATTGTAATTAAGCTAAGCTAATAGCTATATTGTAATTAAGCTAGTAGCTATATTGTTATTAAGCTAGTAGCTATATTGTTATTAAGCTAATAGCTATATTGTAATTAAGCTAGTAGCTATATTGTAATTAAGCTAGTAGCTATATTGTAATTAAGCTAGTAGCTATATTGTAATTAAGCTAAGCTAATAGCTATATTGTAATTAAGCTAATAGCTATATTGTTATTAAGCTAAGCTAATAGCTATATTGTTATTAAGCTAATAGCTATATTGTAATTAAGCTAGTAGCTATATTGTAATTAAGCTAAGCTAATAGCTATATTGTAATTAAGCTAGTAGCTATATTGTAATTAAGCTAGTAGCTATATTGTAATTAAGCTAAGCTAATAGCTATATTGTAATTAAGCTAGTAGCTATATTGTAATTAAGCTAATAGCTATATTGTAATTAAGCTAAGCTAATAGCTATATTGTAATTAAGCTAGTAGCTATATTGTAATTAAGCTAATAGCTATATTGTAATTAAGCTAAGCTAATAGCTATATTGTAATTAAGCTAATAGCTATATTGTTATAAAGCTAAGCTAATAGCTATATTGTTATTAAGCTAATAGCTATATTGTAATTAAGCTAAGCTAATAGCTATATTGTAATTAAGCTAATAGCTATATTGTAATTAAGCTAATAGCTATATTGTTATTAAGCTAATAGCTATATTGTAATTAAGCTAGTAGCTATATTGTAATTAAGCTAAGCTAATAGCTATATTGTAATTAAGCTAATAGCTATATTGTAATTAAGCTAGTAGCTATATTGTAATTAAGCTAAGCTAATAGCTATATTGTAATTAAGCTAATAGCTATATTGTAATTAAGCTAGTAGCTATATTGTTATTAAGCTAGTAGCTATATTGTAATTAAGCTAAGCTAATAGCTATATTGTAATTAAGCTAATAGGTATATTGTAATTAAGCTAGTAGCTATATTGTAATTAAGCTAAGCTAATAGCTATATTGTAATTAAGCTAGTAGCTATATTGTTATTAAGCTAGTAGCTATATTGTAATTAAGCTAAGCTAATAGCTATATTGTAATTAAGCTAAGCTAATAGCTATATTGTAATTAAGCTAATAGCTATATTGTAATTAAGCTAGTAGCTATATTGTAATTAAGCTAGTAGCTATATTGTAATTAAGCTAGTAGCTATATTGTTATTAAGCTAAGCTAATAGCTATATTGTAATTAAGCTAGTAGCTATATTGTAATTAAGCTAGTAGCTATATTGTAATTAAGCTAGTAGCTATATTGTAATTAAGCTAATAGCTATATTGTAATTAAGCTAGTAGCTATATTGTAATTAAGCTAGTAGCTATATTGTAATTAAGCTAGTAGCTATATTGTAATTAAGCTAGTAGCTATATTGTTATTAAGCTAGTAGCTATATTGTAATTAAGCTAAGCTAGTAGCTATATTGTAATTAAGCTAATAGCTATATTGTAATTAAGCTAGTAGCTATATTGTAATTAAGCTAAGCTAATAGCTATATTGTAATTAAGCTAATAGCTATATTGTAATTAAGCTAGTAGCTATATTGTTATTAAGCTAGTAGCTATATTGTAATTAAGCTAAGCTAATAGCTATATTGTAATTAAGCTAATAGCTATATTGTAATTAAGCTAAGCTAATAGCTATATTGTAATTAAGCTAAGCTAATAGCTATATTGTTATTAAGCTAGTAGCTATATTGTAATTAAGCTAAGCTAATAGCTATATTGTAATTAAGCTAAGCTAATAGCTATATTGTTATTAAGCTAGTAGCTATATTGTAATTAAGCTAGTAGCTATATTGTTATTAAGCTAGTAGCTATATTGTTATTAAGCTAGTAGCTATATTGTTATTAAGCTAATAGCTATATTGTTATTAAGCTAGTAGCTATATTGTTATTAAGCTAGTAGCTATATTGTAATTAAGCTAAGCTAATAGCTATATTGTAATTAAGCTAAGCTAATAGCTATATTGTAATTAAGCTAGTAGCTATATTGTTATTAAGCTAAGCTAGTAGCTATATTGTTATTAAGCTAAGCTAGTAGCTATATTGTTATTAAGCTAGTAGCATTAGCTCTGTGGCTCATAGCATAGCATTAGCTCTCTGTAACGTTAGCTCGTAGCATAGCATTAGCTCTCTGTAACGTTAGCTTGTAATCAGTCAATAAAGTTATTACAAACTGCTGCTGCTGTCTGTACAGCTGATGTTGGGGTTTGTTGTTCTCTCAGTCTGTCAGGTGGAGGTGGAGGAGGGGGCGGAGTCTGTCCAACTGCCCTTCAAGACCACAGCTAACCTGCCTGAGGACGCTACAGTGAGGTGGATCCGCTATGAACCTTACAGGACGGTCCATGTGTATAAGAACGGTTCTGACCGGCCTGACAAACAGAACCAGGATTACAGAGACCGAACTGAGATGAAGGAAGACCTGCTGAAAACTGGAGACCTCAGTCTGACCCTGAAATACCCCAAAGAGAGAGACACAGGAAGATACTGCTGCAACGTCTACAGCAAGAACATCTGGAGATGGAAAACAGTGCAGCTCACAGTCAGAGGTCAGTACTGTAGATACAGGTCAGAGGTCAGTACTGTAGATACAGGTCAGAGGTCAGTACTGTAGATACAGGTCAGAGGTCAGATGTCTCTGTGTCTGTCTGTGTCTGACTGTCCTCTGTCTCCTCTGCAGGGAGAACCAGGAACAGAAGCAGCTCCATTGATCCAACTCCTCTGATGGCTGATCAATCTGTTTGATTGGTCTGTTGATCAATCTTTGATTATTGATCTTGTTGAAGGGGCTCAAAGGAAGAGAATGTCAACGTTCAGCTTTCAGTGTTTCCTCTCTTCATCGTCTGAATGAACCTGCAGTCCATACTGTGATTGATTGATTGATTGATTGATTGACTGCTTGACTGATTGATTGATTGATTGACTGCTTGACTGATTGATTGATTGATTGATTGACTGATTGACTGATTGATTGATTGATTGATTGATTGATTGATCTCATGTAGCTCTATAATGTTTCTCTGATGTTTGTGTATTCAGCTTCTATACATATATATCTGGCTGTGTCTCAGGAGGTAGAGCGGGTCGTCCACTGATCAGAAGGTCACTGGTTCGATCCCCAGCTCCTCCCGCTGCATGTCGAAGTGTCCTTGAGCAAAATACTGAACCCCAAACTGCTCCTGATGCTGAATCACTGTATGAATGAGTGAATGAGTGAATGTGTGACTGAGTCAGCTGAACTGTTCTCATGTGTTTGAATCCATAAAGTGTTGTGAGCAGATGAGTTATGGATTCGATCATTTCACACTCTGTTTAGAGAATGATGAATATTGAGGAGAACAACTGTAAATAAAGCTCAAATGTACAGAAATCATTTCTCCACTCTGACAGCATCATGAAAATGGATCTAAAGCTGTGAGAATGATGGATTCAGGAGGCATCAAAACTTTGATTACTACTCTCTTCTGAAATAACAAAAGTGCTCAGTGTGACGGCCTTATTGTGTTCCTCTTGCTTGGTTGTTTACTCTTTGTTTCAGGTAGTAAGGGGTGGAGCTGAGATTACTCTCTGCTGCAGCTCACCTGAGCAGACTCTCTCACTCTCTTCCTCTGGCTGCTGACTGAACTGTTGGGTTTTGTTTGTGTTCTGGGTTTTACATTCATACATATACACCTCACCCTTCACTCACATATTAAACTGTACTGATCATTTTGGTATTTACTTCATTAAATTGTCATAACAATTCACAGACTGTGTGGTCTCCGTCTTTGTTCCACTCTTTTGAGCCAGGTTGTGACTTCAGTTTGCCTTTAGTTATTGATGATACTCATCTATGTGAAGACACTGATCACGTTAATGATTTCTCACAATAATTATCAACAATGACTTTAAAAGGTGGGAAACAGTTATTAACTAATCTATTAACAATATTCAATCTCATATTTAGAAGAGGCCTGAGGGCGACTATATTCCAGTATAAAGTGTCTGTTACACTCCGGTTGTATTACAGCAGAGTTCAACTGTTTATAGCTCATTTAAATATCTTTAATTAAACATTAAAAAGAAAATAGAAAAAAGATTTCATGTAAAATTAAATCTAAAAACTGTTTTTAAATTATAGAAAATTCTGTTATTTTCTGATATTTTTCAGTATTGCTGGAATATTACTAATAATTTATTTTACAGTGTATTTACATGTTAAACAAGTTTAATACACAGAATATAATATAATAAATAATAATGAATATAATAATAGTTCCAGTATAAAGTGTCTGTTACCCTCCGGTACGGTAGGGGGCGCCACGCAGCTCTAACTTCGGTTTGTGGAAGAAGAATCCTGAGTTTTGGAGGACTGGACTGTGAATGGACAGGAGATGGCAGAAGGAAGTGACGGATCAGGAAATGAGTTAGGAATGGAGATAGGTGGCGGGAGAAATGAAAGTTGGAGTGAAGTGAAAACGGGGAAAGCCAGGCAAAAACGCAAGAAAATAAAAGTGAGGCAAATAGGAAGGAGCTCAATGTCAGAAGAAACAGATAGTGAACAAGCGAGAGGGGATGAGGAAGAGCGTAAGGTAATCATCAGACTGGAACAAGAAGGTGCTTCATTTGGTGAGTGGAACCCGGTTCTACTTACCAAGGGGATAAACAGGCTATTGGGAGAGATAAAGAGTGTAAAAGTTCTGCGCAGTGGAGCACTGCTGATTCTTTGCAGAGACAGCGCACAACTGGAGAAAGCGATTAGACTGAATACGATCGGGGGGAAGAAAGTTAAAGCAGCGATAGCTAAGGGTGGAGGTCTCACTCGAGGAGTGATGTTTGGGATTCCCCTTAGTGTGTCTACTGAACAGATAAAAGAAAACGTGAAAGGTGCCAACGTGAGGGAAGACAGACGCCTGAAAACTACTCGTGAGGGCCAAAAATTTGACAGCCTGTCGGTGTTGCTTACGTTTGATGAGGATCGAATCCCTGATAAAGTGTTTATCGGATATATAGACTCTATGTTCCTCCTCCGTTGAGGTGCTTCAAATGTCAGAAATATGGGCATGTAGCGGCAGTATGTAAGGGTAAACAAAGGTGTGGAAGGTGTGCAGGGGAGCATGAATATGGGAAATGTGAAAGAGGAGCTAAACTCAAGTGCTGCAACTGCGGAGGGGAGCATACTTCTGCATATAGAGGGTGTGAAGTCAGTAAGAGAGTAGAAGAGGTGCAACGAGTGAAAACATCCCAAGGGGTCACATACGCGGAAGCAGTCAGAAAGGTGGGGATGCAGCCAAACAGCAGTAGTGTTAAGATGGCAGAAAGGCATGAAATGAGAGCATGTGAGGGATGTAGTAGAATTAAAGAGGACACGCTGATTGTGGAGAAAAGGCAGTTTATACTGTTCATGGTTGATGTAATTAATTGTACTGCGCAAACAGACAAGAAAACAGAAAAAATCATAATAATAGTGAAAGCAACGGAGAAATATCTGGGAGTTGAGGCTATTGGGTGGGAGGAAGTGGAGGAAGTGTTGAATGGAGGTTCACCCAGTTCACAGACACTGTCACAATCTTCTTTATGGGGTGGTGGATCATCATGGTCATAAGTATTTTGCAAGAAGTTTTATAGCTAATGGGCAAGAACTTAAGAAGTTTATTTCAGGTCTACAGGATAAACCCAGTATAATATGTATTCAAGAAACATGGCTGAGAGCACAATGGGATTTCATAATACAAGGATACACTGCTATAAGGAATGACAGGAAGATGGGGAAAGGTGGTGGGATGGACATTTTTGTTAAAAATGGAACAAGGTTCAATACTGTTCAGTTAGGGAGAGAATGTGAGTCCATAACAATAAAGATTTGGACAGGCAAATATGAGCTAGCAATAATTAATTACTATAATCCATGCAACAAATTAAGTGTAGATATATTAAATATGGTGTTGGGGGAAGTGCAGGGGAAAGTAGTGTGGTGTGGGGATTTTAATGCGCATAGCACTCTATGGGGGAGTGAGAGAACTGATGCAAATAGGTCTATAGTGGAAGAGTTTATAGAAGATAAAGGATTAGTATGTATGAATGACGGGAGGGGAACAAGGTATGACTGTGTGCAAAATAAGGAGAGTGTGATTGATTTAACAATGACATCAAATGAAATAGCAGGCATCACTGCTTGGGAAGTGATAAATAAAACATTAATGGGTAGTGACCACTATCCAATTGGTATTAAGATTGGAGTAGAGTTGCAACGAGTGGAAAATTGATGAAGCTAATTGGGGACTCTTTCAAGAACTGAGTAGAAACAGATTTGAACAATTACATAAGGAGGAATGGGCAGATGTGGATGAAATGAATAAGGAAGTAGTAACAGCTGTAATAAAATCAGCAATTGAGTCGATACCAAAAGCATCAGGGTGCAGAAACAAAAAGAATATGCCGTGGTGGGATGAAAATTGCAAACAAGCAATTAAAGCACGGAATAGGGCATTTAGGCTGTTAAAGAAACATCATTCAATGGAGTCATTAGTTCAGTATAAAAGGTCACAAGCAGTGGTTAGAAGGACAGTTAGAGCAGCTAAGCGTGCATGCTGGAGGAAATATTGTAGTGAGATAGGGCGGGAGGTACAGTTATCAGATGTTTGGGGAATGATCAGGAAAATGAGTGGAATAAGAAGGAATATAACAATCCCAATACTAATAAGTAACAGTAGAACAGCAATTAGTGGGTTAGAAAAGGCGATGCTATTGGCTGAAACACTAATTAAAGTTCATAGTTCGGAAAATCTATCAGTAGAGGCAAAGCAGCAAAGGAGTATTATTCTGGCACAAAATACATGGATTAACAAGAAAAAACTAACAAGAGAATCTGGATCTTCCATTCAGTATGTATGAGTTAAGGAGGGCCATCCCCAGCACCCGGCAGTCAGCGCCAGGGAAAGATAACATGGATGATAGGTCACTAGAGGTTATATTGAAATTAATTAACAGAATATGGGATTTAGGGGAGATTCCAGCTGCATGGAAGCACTCAGTTATAGTGCCAATTTTAAAACCAGGTAAAGTTGCATCAGATCCATCAAACTACAGACCAGTTGCTCTTACATCTCAGTTAGGGAAAGCTATGGAAAAGATGGTAATAGAGAGGTTGATGTATTTCATAGAAAGTAGAGAAATAGTTTCTTCATATCAGAATGGGTTTCGTAAAGGGAGAAATACAATGGACTCAGTATTGTGCTTAGAATCAGAAATTAGGAAAGCACAGACCAATAAAAAGATAGTGGTTGCTGTGTTTTTTGATATAGAAAAAGTGTATGACATGTTGTGGAAAGAAGGCCTGCTAATCAAACTGGATAAGTTGGGAGTGGGAGGGAAGATGTATAACTGGGTATTAAGCTTCCTGTTTGGGAGGACGATAGAGGTCAGAGTAGGAAAAGAGTACTCACCAGTATATATGGTTGAAAATGGAACGCCACAGGGGAGTGTATGCAGTCCAATATTATTTAACTGTATGATTAATGAGTGGCATAGCTGCCTTCCAAGCAGTTGACCCGG